ACTCTCTCCCAGACCTCTTTTAATCTCCCATCACTTATTTAGAATTTTACATTCAAAAGATACTTTTGTAAGACTTTAGAATTGCTAGTTATGCCCAACAATTATGTTTTGACTTCATTTGTAAGATGACATATTTATATATGAATAAGTCAAATTACATTGCTAGTATGGAGATTTAGTGGAGCTCAAAAAGGTTAGACATATTAAAATCAATAAGCAAACTCAAATGAAAAAACATATCACATAATATTTCAAATGTATTAAGAATGGTCCCGTCCATAGCTCTAAGCCATTAAGCATTAACGATGAATATGAATTTGCAAAGAGTTTTGAGTGATCGGGAGTCCATAAGTATAAATTCACAGTGATGTGTTTCCATTTATTTGTCCTTGAAACTTTTTTTTTTAACACTGAAAAACCTTGCTTTAGTTGTCCTTGAAATCGAAGTTGTGATAACCCACTTCAAGCTATGATAGACAAATTCATCAGAGTTGTGATAACCTGTTTCATGACATAATAGTGGAATTCAAGTTTGTCTATCAATTAATACAAGTGAGTGGGGTTGGGATGAAGCCCTCCATATCCCTAATTGGAGTAGACTTGTGATACGATTCTATATTAGTGAAATATACTCCCACATACACATAAGCTCCATCAGAGCACTTCAAGGCATGATAGTGACATTTAAGTTTCTCTATCAATTAATTAATAATAAGTGAGTGGGGCTAGGATGAAGCCCTACATATCCCTAATGCGAGTAGAAAGGGGTTTACCCTATAAAACGTAATGGCTTTCATGTCATTTGAACACCAGTCTATGTGTGTGGCTACTAAACAAGAGGGACCAACAAGTGACATGAGAGAGCTTACATGGAGTATTGAAGAGAGGGTCACGAGTAACACCCAATTGATATTACTTAGTTAACTATGATTATTCAATCACATGTAAACTATTAAAAGATAATGATATCATCTTAATAAATATCTTGAAAGTGATTCTTATGGATATTATAAGGCACAAGAGATGTATAATCATCACCAGGCCTAGCAACAAAAATAGTGGAAAGGACCTTTGACATATAGTAAGAAAAGGTTTTAATTAAGATAAATTATTATTTTTATTAGTTAGTCTAACTTGATCCTTAATTATACGCTCTGTCATTTCATTGGTTGCTATTATGGACATAATATATACTTTAACATGTCACAAATTGAGATGTAGAAAGATAAAAAATTTGGTGAGGTTAATAAAGAAAAAGAAGACCCCCTATATATATATATATATATATATAAACTAATTGGGTAGAGATTTCAAGAAGATACACCAAGTCATATGATTGCTATAAAAAATAAGGATGCATGTGCAATATATATATATACTCATATGATTTCTATAAAAAATGAGGATGCATGTATAACCATTAGATAAATAGACTTGTGCTTGTGAATATTATTACTTCCAATAAAATTTATTTAATCTCGAGTAATTTGATAGCATCAACACTTCAATTGATGACAAAAAACCATTTATTTGTCACCATTAACTAAGTTCTCCTTCAAATTTATTTCATATGTATATTTTCATGTATTATCAAACTTATATTCTTATGTTTTAGGTTGCATACCCATCACGGTTTAATTTTACATCAAATTATTTCTATAACCCTTTCTAGCATATATGCCATAATATGCTATATTTATGAGGCAGCGCCCAAGAGTTTACAAGATTTGGGAAGAATGTCATTCAGCTATAACTGATTTAAGAGGTTCTTTGTACAATAAAGTGGGTGTTATGCTCCTTCATATCATAAGCGTATAAGAAATGTTAGGAGTGGTGCAATTAATGCCAAGACAAATAAAAAACATTATTGTGCTTTTAGAATTGGAGTCTTTAATGTTATTTTGTTGTTATTTACTTAGTTATTTATTAAGGTACCTGAGAAGCTTACTAAGTAAAAAAAATTTCTTGTACATTGTATATTTGGATGGTTACTGAGGCTTCGTTTGGGACGGCTGCAGCTGTCGGTAAAGCAGGTTGTAAAGTTGTTGTACAAAAAGTCGAGTTTTGAAGTTGATGTATAGAAAGTAGTATATTTTGTTTGGGAAGTATAACTGTTGAGCTGCTGTGCTGCAGCTGTATGAGAATAAATTACGTTTATAACCTTATATATATTGTGATGAAAGAAATTGCTTAACTATCAATTTTTTTTAATTTATATGATAATAAACTAACAATTCTACATTAAAAATTGTATCCACTTAGTGGTGCAATTAATGCCAAGACAAATAAAAAAATTATTGTGCTTTTAGAATTGGAGTCTTTATTGTTATTTTGTTGTTATTTACTTAGTTATTTATTAAGGTACCTGAGAAGCTTGCTAAGTAAAAAAAAAAGTCTTGTGCATTGTATATTTGGATGGTTATCGAGATGCTGATTTGTATTATGTCCTGCTTTGAATTGGGTAATATGCTAACTATTTTGTACTTGGTTTTAACATTAATCACTACACTTATATATGCTTATCCCATCAACTTTCTCAATAATAACTACTTGTATTTTATTATTTTATCATGACTAGAGCTATTCAAGTCTTTAGGCCTGCCTAATGCTCGAGGCATTAGATGCCATCTTAAGTACTCACCAAAGCGAAATCAAGCACAAAAAAACTTCACCTATTTAATTATACAGAATAATTTTAGAGATTATAATACGATAATCATCACCATAAATATTAAAATCTAGCAAGCAAAAAAAATACATTTTTAAATACGGTGCCATTCTAAATATCAAAACCTTGCCAAAAGGAATGCCTATAATAAAGTGCTCACAAGGTCCAAAAATTATGTTTCAAGTTTAAATAAAGTAAACAAAAGTCTAAGTTGATAGCTTCCATAAAGTAAGCTTAATCTAATCTTCATTGCTATCTATTTCATCTTCTTTGAAACCCATGTTTTATTCCCCATCATTAGTTTCATAGTACTCCATAACATAATATGGTTATATATGCCTTAAAATAATAAAATATTTACAACATCAAGGTGAGGGCCCAATCCCCTAGCACCTTACACCAAAGCGCACACCTAAGCCATGCCTTAGCAATGGCACTTGCTTGGAAGGTATTTTGAAAAGCTAGAGTCTAGCTTTTATTTGCCCGAGTGCTTACACAAGAAACAACCTTGCCTTCGATAACACTAATCATAATTAACAGGATATCGTAAAAATTATATAAGATAGTTTTCACAAATTTTTAATATATATATTGATATTGAACTTGTATCTCATAGAATATCACAACAATTCTTCTTGTATGTATGTTCGTAAGAAATTTTTTAGTGATTTTCTTTTTTTGGTAGCTTAAAAACACATATTAGCATCTATATTATACATTTAAATCCTAAATTTTGAAAATGTCAATAAAAACATACCAAAATATAGATATATTTAACAAATGTCATACCAAATTACCTTCAAAATTTAATGGCTTCAACATTCACTAGATTCAAATCTACATAATTTACAAAATCCTACTTAACTAAAATCCTACATGTTAAGAAACCACAACTATTTAGTAATCATAAGCAAGCCTATTTGTACCAGGCAAGGAAAGTATTTGAAGTACAGGGTTTTACATTAAATCCCATAAAATAGTTTCTAGGGAGCATGCTAAATCCCATCGCTTTATAAATCTTAAATTCCGGTGATTTAGGAGATTTAATTTTTTTTTTTTCAAATCATGCTAGGTCTCAAATTTTGGGTATTTATAACTTAGTCTTCTCTTCATTGCTTTTCCTCGACTCATCACGCATTTCTTATTCCACCCATGTCTTTCCATTGAACCTACTTCCTTCTCCCTCATCTCGCCATTAAGTATGCTCGATTGGGATCTTCATTCTCTAGCCTTTGTTATAAACTTCCTACTCCCCTTATGTCATCATGATACTTCATACTCTTGCCAACGACATTGCTAAAATATGCACCATGAGCCGAATTTTTGGTCATAAGTAGCTTGTGGAAGTGAATTCACCTCTTCCCAAGTTGTAGTTGATAGGGTGGATTATAATTGTTATTGTTAGTTTTGTATAGAGTTAGATTGTGTTTATCAATCGCGCAGTAATGTTGTCTCAGACCTCAATACAATCGGTCAAGCTTGCCGAGGGGGTTGTAGGGGAGAAACACTTCAATTGCTTGAGATTAGGCATTGTATACTCGAGCGATGCGGTGTTGCAATCTTAGGTTGGAGACAGAGAGCAAAACATTGCAGCGTTGTCAGCTGTAATGCCATGGCGTTGCAGGGTGAACTCAAAGACAGAGTGGAGCACCACGAGGCTCCAAACCTCAATGCTATGGCGCTACAAGTCAAGCTGGGCATTTTTTTTTCTTGTTTTTCATGTTTTAACTAAAAGGGTTGCATCCCTTTGTGATGTAGAAGTGTGTCTCTTTATTAGTTATGTGTGTAGAACAATTTCTCCCAATTTTTTATTGTGGATTTCTTGGTGTGGTGTGGTCCGTGATTTTTTCCTATTTCCAATAATTATAAGATTGTTTTCACATTAGAAATATATTACTTCTTATATATTAGTATTGAATATGTACCAATAGAATATCCTCAGTTTTTATTGTATTAATGTTTGTTTTTTTTTGGGAATTTTTTTAATATACTTTAGCTTAATAATACATTCAGGTTCAAAAAATAAAACTTTTTAAATATACTATACATCTAAAAATTAAATCATGTAGCAAACATCCAAAATGATTGTTTAAAAAGGTTTATAAATGCCACGCCAAACAGCTTTCAAAATTTAACACCTAAAATCTAAAAGTGCAGGATTTCCTAAATCCAACTTAACTTGAATTATACTTCCTCCCAAACCTATGCCCCCACTGACATCAGCTAACAGATGCCAATGAACCAAACATCCCCTAAATATTCCTTCGCCTTCATAAAACGACAACGCTTGCCGAGCAATAGTTAAAAAAAAAAAATTCAAATAGACACTTACCGTGTGCGATTCAGGATCCAACGCCGCGCATCGCGCGAGAAAGAAATACGATCCGGGAGCATGGGATATGGCGGGCTGAATCCGACCAATGGGCTCCGCAACGGAACGAAACTCTAGGGTTCCGACGCAGGTGGAAGCAAGCAGTGGGGTAAACACCATGTGATTCCTCGGCGACACACAGACGACATCATAAATATTCGTGTCGATGCTCTTCATCAAACGACATCCCGCCCACCCAGATCCCAGCACCACCACGCGCGGCTTCTCCTTGCCCTGAACCGTCGGGCCCAATCCAGCAATGTTTCCGGCGACGGGGGAAGGTGACGGAGTCGCCGGAAAGGAAGCGGCGGCAGTGGAGAAGGATGGCGGCGGAGGGGAGAATGAGAATTTGTTGGAGGTACGAGAAAGCCGAGCTAGGGCCCGGAGCCAAGCCATAGAGGACGTAGCTCCTCTCTCTCTCTCTGGTCCCCAGTTTAAGCGGTGAAGTTCTCATTTCTCTCATTTTCCCATCTTGAGTGAAAAGAAGGGGTCTCTCGCTCTCTTGGAGAACGCCGCTCTAAACGTGGAAGATCGAAAGACCTTGATTTTGCATTTCAATGGATTCAGGTACGCTTCCGAAAACTTCTTCTCGATGATTTAGCATGTCTTTCAGAGACGATTGATTTGTTATTTTCGTCTCCGTTAAATCCTAACAGCCACATGCAAATCTTCCTTCAACACTATGTTGAATTGATCCATGCACTGAGCCGAAAGTATATGCAGCCCTCTAGTAATCACCTTGCTGAAATTTTTCTTTGCCAAGAATTGCTATAGTGTTGCATATGGTATACCAACTCCACCCTAAATCCTCTATGCAACAGCCTTCTACAGGCCGAACAAGACAGCAACAGAAATCTTCAGAAAATTCTGCACTAAATCACCCTTCATTACCATGCTTGCTTGCGATTTTCTTCATCTCCATGAGTACTAATAAATGGCATGCGAAAATCCTTCTCCACTACAACGCCCTTTTCTCTCTCCCGTGAAAATGCAAGCACATGAGATATTCACGGTATATAGAAAATTCTAGACAGTGGGCCCCAGCTTCTAACCATCCTCTTTCAAACCGCCTTTGCCAAGAGTTGTTTCCAAGAGTTGTATTAAAATGCTTCCTACAGATATCTCTAATAATTATTTTAATCCACATATTAAAACAGAAAACTATTAATTTTTAATTATTAACCAATACTTGAATATTTCCGGTTATTACATACAACTTGTAATATAGCTATTAAACATGCATAAATGCAATCATGTTCTTTTGTCTTTCTTTTTTCTCTTTTTAACATATACATAAACATTAAAATACAAATATAAATTTCAATTATATGTCTTTCAGTTACTAATTTCTTTTTTTTATTTCATTTATTATAGGAGCACAATCAAAATTTTGTGTCAATGAAGGTACACTCATTTTCTTTTCATTTTCCTTTTAACATGCACGAGTACATTACATCCCCAAACAGTATCATAAGGGTGAACTCTTGTATTTACTCACATATATCTTTTCCCTTTCAATATTTTTCATTTACGTGTTATAATTCTTTTCATTCAATTCATTTTCATAGCATATACTTATTAATTTATGTCATCATTTTCCATACACATACTGATGCAATGCTTGCTTACTATGTACCGACAGGACACCAGATGTGCTCTAACAAACCACATGTCCACTCCTACTTTTTCTATTTTCTGTTATTAATTTACAGCACAGCTTTTTCTTTTATACTCCACAAATAGTAATAGAGAAATATATAGATAATTACATATAGGATAGAAAAAGGATTCGGCTGTCTCATCTTGCATTTTTACACAAAGTAATAGAAAGGCTGAGAATACAGAGGTATTCTTCTTCCTCCCATATCTGCTCTCTGTTTTTGCCATTCCTTTTTCTGTTTTGGTCCAGGTTGCCGATCCTGCAGAAGGTGGAGCTATCACATACATTGTAAGCTTTAATTGCTTAGTCATACTCAATTTGATGCATTTCAAACAATTAAATATCAACAATTACATGTGCATAATATAATGTTAATTGAAATGAAACAAAAGAAACTGAAATTGCTATAAATAATATAATCACCAACTTCATTGCTTTCTTGTTGAATTCCTTTTCAATTTTTTATAATTTATAAATGGTCTCTTTAAGGCAGCACCTAAGATCATATATAATTACATAAATTTGCACTATTATTTTACAACTAATTTTTATTACTTTAAAATATTTTTTTTCATGAACATGTATGGAACCTTCTCTAAACTCCCCTTGTTATCTCTTGGTGGCTTTAGTAGTTTATCCCAACTCAACAATGTAAATCTCTCACTATTTCAAAATAATATCCAATTGCATCAATTATAGCTAATCAACTTCTAAAATTAAATGTCATCAAGATAATATTACATTACTTTGATATCATTAAAGATACTTTCAATGGGTCGGACATCATCTATATAATATTGAATGAATCTAATTTATCATATATTGATTAAAACTCTTAGTATACTGCAAATCTATAGAATTAATCAAAATTAATTACCTTGATTAAAGCTTTCTTTTTCGTTCTCTTTGAATCAAGACTCCCACCAATTTGATTCCTTCCTATGAAATAATTATATTTTTTTATTTAAATAAAATCAAAATTATGCATTTACTTATTGTCTAAATTTAAATTGAAAAAAATAAAATTTAAATTACTTACTGATTCCCCGTCGTCATAAATGGAGTCTCACTTTTTCTTCCTCACCAAGATTTCATTCTTTCCAAAATTTATTATCTTTCTCTCTTGATTTCCTTCTTTTATTTTTAATCAAGATCTTCTTAGATTAAAAACACAGAGAAATTTGCACATAAATGAAAATTTTGATGGACAAACCTCTCTTCTCCTTCTTCTTCCCAACGATCACTACCTTCTCGGTTCTTTCATTCATTTATTTTAACTGGATGGAGCGAAATGGACTTATCACACTTGAGGACTCGACTCTTCATTACTGAATTGCGTAAAATGTGTTTCCTTGCCAACTTACGCAATTCAGTCCCGCCAACTACTCCCACACTCGTGCACCTCTCGCTCTGCTCGCCCACGTTTGTTTATGGGTTCAATTCAGTTGAACTGAACCAACCAGTTCTTACAGTTTTAAAATATCATTCTGGCTCACTATTCAGAGACATCACTAACAATGAACTATCATTGAATCATCATTGAGATATTATCGATAACCATCAAATGACCACCCAGGCTAAGCATATGGTTATTGTAAGGGTGAAACTTTTGATCACCTTTCTAACTAGAGGAGGTGCAATATGGGCCATCCAATTCCCATGTGGATTTAATAGATTTAGGTAAAAATGTTAAAATTATATCTTCAAATATATTAATAGGTCATGATTAAAAATATTCTATTTAGAAAAAATAGAGATTGAATTCACACCTAATTCATAATTGTAAATTCTAACCATTATCTAAAGTGTGAGTTAGACATCCTCAGCGATCATCGATCTGCTTTTGAGTCACCTTTATGTCACCTAGTCATAACTCATTGCAGAGAACTAGGTCAACCATCCTTAGTTGCTCGCCAACTGTTGGTCATTTATTTTCTTAATAGGGAGAAACCGAGAAACCATCTCAGTATGACCCGAATAGTAGGTAGGTTAGGTTGGGTTTGAGTTGATATATAACTTTTTCTTTAGCCAAGCTTAGTTTTCCCTATTTTATGGGCTAAATTTCTCATCCTAAGCTTATTTAAAGTTGATTCAAGTTTAGTAAATTCAACCCATGCAATGCAAATAATTAAATGTTATATATTCAGCCTTTCTAGTATTCTTTATTAGTTGCAAGCATCTAAATTTTATGTTTAAAAAATTTGTTCTAGTGTCGTAGCCAGGTTAGTTAGCCATTTTAAGTTAGGTTCCTGACTTCTAAAGATTGATACACATGTTGCATAGAAACTAAATTAAAGTTCCTAAAAGGTCATTGCTAACTAAAGTTTGAAGATGTAAATAAAAGTATGTCTACATCCAATCATCATATCTAAACCATAAAATGCAATTTTTTCTTAATTGATGTCTTATGAAGGGACTTTGAGAAGTGGTTAACAAAATGACTAAATCAACATGTTTAAAAGGGATACCAACATTGGCTAAAGCAATAAGATAAGGTTGGTAGCCCAAATAAATAAATATTAAATAACATATTAATATTAATATGGCTAGGTAGAGTTAGCCAAGTAGTAAATAAATATCAAACTAGAACTAAAAATGCACTAGAGTTGAATTAGTTAGGCCTAATTGTTTTTTTTTTAAATTTCGTTTGGCGAAGAATACTATCCAAACATTATATTGAACAACAGTGATGTGTTTTTTGCATGCCTATATCTAATACCAACTATCTCTAGTTGCTCATTGACACCAAGTTATTTGATATCCTCCATTTTGAGGCATTAGATAGTTTGTTGACTCGTGAATCTACTACATAAACTCAATTTTGACAATAATAACTACATTACAAAAATAAGTTCAATGGCTGCATCATTTTTTTCTTATACATGCAGATGAAAAGCTACACATGCCAAAGTTTATGCATATACATACTACTTTTAGGAGGATTCTTATATTCTTCAAATGTAAGGCAATAATGAAAATATCTAGATGCGATCAAACAACTAAAGTAACAGTTTTGAATTAGGGTTGGAGGGGCATAAAGACAAAGGATGTATAAGCAACCCATAGCCCTCACATAGAGATTGTCTCTAGTCGCAAACAACCTTCAACATCATATCTTCCCCATCAATATAAATCGAAATCTCCTCCGGGAGGATATAATCCTTGGATTTATTCAAATAACCCTAAATATTCCTTCTACATTACATTTTTTTTATACTGCATTCCTTTTACTTGCATTTGTTTTTTAGCCAATCGAACAACTTCTATGTTTAAAATAATTTGTAATATTTTTCAATTAATCAGCCACCATTAATATCGTCTGCCGGTTTCCATTATTTTAAACGTTACACTACATTCATTCTATTTCAAATTAAACATAAAAATTATTCATCTGAATTTATTTTAGACTCATTCAAATAATTTTAAAATATATTTTTTTTATAGTGTATTACATTCACTCCACATTCTTTATTTTTTTGAAATCAAACAGCTCCTACATCAATTCAATACGAAATTGGTTACCAAGAGAAATTTTTATAAAAAATTGTCGCCTGAGCCGTCGTTGAAGACGCGTGGACAGTTCCGATTTCATATAATTCATGCTTAACAATATCCACATGTGCTCCACGCGCCCCTTCCATTCTTCCTCCCCTCGATTCGCAGACCTCCCTTCTCCTCGCATGGCGTCCTCCGCCCCCTTTCTTACCACCCGGCCCCTTCTCGACCGATCCAGCCGCAATACCCCTCTAGCTATAGGGTTAGGGTTCCCCAACCGAACCCTACGTCGCCGCCCCTCCTCATTACCTATCCGCCTTCGAGCTGACGCCTCCTCTGGGGCTGGAACCATCGAGACATCCCAAGATTCATCTGCTGATGCGATCAAGAGATTTCTCAAGCGCGAATACAAGTATGGCTTCTCCTCCGACTTTGAGTCCACCTCAATACCCAAAGGCCTCTCCGAAGATACCGTCCGCTCCATCTCGGCTCGTAAAGGTGAACCGGATTGGATGCTTCGGTTTCGCCTCGACGCCCTCCGACGATTCTTCTCCATGGTCGAACCTCGTTGGTCTGATAACGTTTACCCCCCAATTGACTTCCAGTCCATCTGCTATTTCTCAGAACCGATGCTTAAGCCCAAACTGAATAGCCTTGATGAGGTCGATCCTAAACTCATTGAGACTTTCGAGCGCCTCGGCGTCCCCCTCAATGAGCAGAAGCGCCTCGCAAATGTTGCAGTAGATGCCGTCATCGACTCCACTTCAATTGCCACAACGCACAGGGAAACCCTAGCGAAGGCTGGAGTTATCTTCTGCTCCATCGCTGAGGCGATCAGGGAGTACCCGGATCTTGTTCGGCGATATCTTGGGAAGGTCGTGCCGATGGGCGATAACTTCTACGCGGCCCTCAATTCTGCTGTTTTCAGTGATGGGTCCTTCTGTTATATACCTAAAGATACAGTTTCTCCCATGGAGATTTCGACTTATTTCCGGATTAATGATAGGGATACAGGCCAGTTTGAGCGGACACTGATAATTGCTGATGAGAGGAGCTATGTGAGCTATCTTGAAGGCTGCACGGCTCCCTCCTATGATAAGAACCAGCTTCATGCTGCAGTAGTGGAGCTCTACTGTGCTGAAGGGGCAGAGATTAAGTATTCCACAGTACAGAATTGGTATGCTGGAAATGAAGAGGGTATTGGAGGGATTTACAATTTTGTGACAAAGAGGGGAATTTGTGCTGGTAATAAGTCAAAAATATCTTGGACACAGGTTGAGACAGGATCGGCAATCACATGGAAGTATCCGAGTGTGATTCTGAAGGGGAATGACACTGTGGGGGAGTTCTATTCAGTTGCTCTAACAAAGGATTATCAGCAGGCTGACACTGGGACAAAGATGATTCATATTGGGAAAAATTCAAAAAGTAGGATTGTTTCAAAGGGAATATCTGCTGGAAAGTCAAGGAATTGTTACAGGGGACTTGTGCAAGTTGGGCCAGGTGCTGAGAATTCCCGAAATTTCTCTCAGTGCGATTCTATGCTTATTGGGGACACGGCAGCTGCCAACACATATCCCTACATACAGGTATTTCTCTAAAATGCTTCGTGATGGCCAGTCAAGATAGTAAGAGTTAAAATTTTAATAAGGTTTGCCTTAATCAAGGAAAAATGTGGCAATTTTTTCCTCTAAAAATTTTCATAGTTGAAATTGATTCCGAGAACTATATTGTGTACTTCTGTGTAAAATTTTCATGGAACATGAATGATATTGTTTTTTCATGAAAATTGTGCAATTACGGTCATATCTAGGTTGACTGGCTGCAAGAAGTTCAATTACATTTTATAAATGAAGTCGTTCATTCATGCAACTGACTTATGATAAGGTCACTTGGTCTGTTCAGGTTCAAATGCATGAAGGTCGAAACTTTTGCTATGGTAAAATAAAACATTTAGGAGGCTAGTTTGCATCATTGTTCTGGATTTCTAAAGAGTCTTTCATATGTTAATTTTTTAGTTTTGGGTTTTGGGTTTTGGGTGCCCATAGCTATAATTTTTTTGTTGTTGTTGTGAAATACATTCTCTAGGAAATGAGAAGTCAATTTTTGAAAATTGAAATAGTCTATAATTTAGTAATAATCTGTCCATGCTTTAGGAAGCAGACATTAAAGAACTGATTTTCTAGAAAATATGTGAATATAATGATTCTTTGACCAAACAAAATGGCATGATGATAAGTTTTTCAGCTCAAAAGCTGTTCGATGCTTTTACTTTTTTTTCCTCTGACTTATGATAAGGTCACTTGGTCTGTTCAGCTCAAAAGCTGTACGATGCTGTGCGGTAAAAGTGCGCAGCTCAAAATTGTTGAGATTTAAAATTTCTCAGGAGCTTTTGAAATCTTTGGTCCTTTGGTTAGGCAATAGGATAAGACGCAAACAGTTCTATTTATATAAAGTTTTTTATGAGTATATGGTGTTTGACATTTTATGTGCAAGTTCTTTTAGCAGGACTTGTTTTTTATTTTGTCAATCATGAAAAAAAATTTATAGTTCTAATATTAATGGCATAATCACATTATGGGTCTATGAGGATTTCTTCCAATGAATTAGTTGAAATCATGAGCACGTTGGAAGTTTTGAAGAAATATGTAGTTAGGCTAAGCTAGAGAAATGATATAAGTTGACTCCATTTTTCTTTATAGAAGATTTTATAGTGCAATCTTATCACCTCTTATGCATGCCCTTTTGTAGCATAAAGTTGATGTTGAAGTGGATTCATCATCTTGGGCTTATGCAAAATCATGAAGAGAAGAAAATATTGTTCTGGAATATATATATATATATATAACACAAACACATATTAATTGTATATGTATATGCTTAATGTTGGAGAGATACTTTTTGGTATTGAAGGCAAGAATTAATATTGGGAATACTTCATGTCAAAATTGAGACTTAAATTATTCAACCTCCTCTTTTGTATCTTTCATCAACTTAAGCAACAAGTGGCATATTATATTATGTGTGGAGTCTAAATTTTCTTAAGATAAAGCTTGAATATAATTTTTAAGATTGATGGCTACTAAAGTCAAGATCCATTTATACTTGATTTTCAAGATTGGTGGCTACAAATTCAAGATCTATTTTCAGTTCATTTTTTATGTAAGATGGTGGCTTCCTAACTCAAATTATAATGTACTTCATCTTTTAAATCTACCACCTTATGATGCAACTATGAAAATGTGAAGAAATCAATGCGTTTGTGCATCTCATAATAATAAGCAACTAGAAGAGGAGAGAAAGAGGATGCGAGGAGAGGAGTGTCATCCGAGAATGAAAGGTAAGTTTTTCTGGCGTTTGCAAGGTAAGCTATTTGGGTTTTTCAAGAAGGACGAAATGTTGCCTATCTTCAAATGTATAAAGATAAGAAACTCTTAATTATAGTAATGAATATTTTTTATTTCGACTCCTTCAATGAAGGATGGGACGAGAGTAGCTAGAGCAAAAACAACGTCTCCTCTGCAGATAGGCCTCATTTTTTCATCATGTGGCCATAATTTCTCTAGGATAGGCAAAGTAATGTCTCTATCCATATCTCCATCTTTATATGAAGTTTAATCCTTCATTTACCTTTTTGAAGGTCTATGGATTATTCATTCTCTATGCGGCTTTGGACATAGGTGTGGGCGTTAAATCGGATCACATAAGTTTTGGTGTTCTTTTTTGTGGTGCTTCTTTTCCTTTTACATTGTGATTCATTATACTTGCCTCTAGTTGTGGTGCACTATTTCCTAACAACTAGTATCAAGTGAGATTATGAAAATTTTTATGAATATGAAGTTCAAATTAGAAATTTTATGGCTCTAAGAGTTTTGGATATTAGCAAAATAGTGTTCTTGTCCAACAGAGACTTGTAAATGTGCTCATAGGATGTAATAAGATGTCTGAAATTATGAATGAAGAAGATAACATTGAGATAGATGGGAAGGCTCTCTCAGTGATTTAGTTACGTTTGGCATATGAAATCTTGACATAGATCTCAGAGGAAATAATTACAGAAGATTTGTGGCTAAAGCTGAAGTTTTTGTACATGACCAAATTCTTCTCAAACAAATTTTATTCGAAATTGAGGCATTTACTTTGCATGCAGAAAATCATTTCTATTAAATAACATTTGTATTAGTGTAATTATATTATTTGAGATTTGAGGAATATTAATGATGAAGATCAAGTTTTGTTTATATTGTGCTATTTACTATCTTCTTACCAGCATTTTTGAGATACCATCTTGCATGATAATGATGCAATAAAGTTAGAGGATGTCAGTAATTCATTTATTCAAAAGGAGTTGATTTCTAAGCTCGGGAGAGACTATCAACTAGCTAAATGTTTATTGCACATTTGAGGGAGATCTCATGAGCGAGCCTTCTCTGCTAGTAATGACTAGAGTAAATCTCATAATAAATTTAACAAGATTACTTGCCTTAATAGTAAGAAGAAATGACATAAAACATAATTATTTTTCTTTAAAGAGAAGAAAGCAAGAAGCAGATGACAACTACAAGGAGTTTGATGCAAGTGCTGTTGTAAAATTTTCTTGTTATAAATTTTGTGATGCTCTCTTGTTGGCTATAGACAAGAAGTGTGCAGTGTAGTGAATTTTGGACTCAACTTATTCTAATCACATGAATTTTTATTTAGATATATTTTTCAATTATGAATTGAGTTCTGGTTGTATTTATATAGAAAATTGAGTTGCATGCAAGATTAGGGGTTCTAACACTATGAGTTTGAGGGCATATTTGGTGTAACTATATCCTTGGTTGGAGTCAGTATGTATAATATTTGATTAAGAAATTGATATTTTTAAGTGCTCTTAGTATTGCAGGTTATAGATTCTTTGGCAATACTAATACCCTTAGGGTCTGTAAGAATGAGTTGGTTTCTGTAAAGATGAATAGAGTTATTGAACTTCATGTGTATAGAGTGCATTGTTACATGCTGGTGTATTGGATTTAATAGCTTTGGTGGTAGCTCATGAAAGCAAGAATAATACTAAGCATATGACGTTAAGCACTAGAAACGTGGGAGCTAATGTGAAATATATTGCTAATAGTTCTAGAAGAGTAGTACAAAATAAATATTCTGGCATGTGAAATTTCTTAAAATGACATAATTATTGCAGGATAAGCAAATATTCAAAATAAAATAGCAATCTAACAATAAGAAGAATTTTGCTAGTTTGACATTGATGCATTGAGCTACTGTAAAACTTTAGTTAATCTTCACGGCTAGTGAAAGAAGATGTCGCATAGAAAAATATTTAGATACGACCACTAAATATATATTAAGTCCAAGTGGGAGGTTAGTAGGTGTATAGTCTAAAATTTTCTTAATAATCTTGGGTAAATTTTGATTTTTGATTTTCAAGATTGATGGCTATCAAATTCAATTTCTATTTATACTTGATTTTCAATATTGGTTGCTATAAACTCAAGATCTATTTATGGCTGTTTTCTTAAGATGGTGGGTACCTAACTGAACTTATATCGATAAGCTCTATTAAACATACTAACTCACAATGCAACTATGAAAAGGAGAAGAAATCAAGGATTTCATGCATCCTACAATAAAAGGCAATAGAAAGAGGAGAGGAAGAGAGAGGATAGGGTTATTATTCAAGAAAGAAAGGAAGAAGCTTTTTTTGTACTGCAAGATTCAATATCTATTTATACTTGATTTTTCAATATTGTTGGCTATAAACTCAAGATCTATTTATGGTGATTTTTCCAAGATGGTGGGCACCTAACTGAACTTATATCCATAATTTCTATTAAACATACTACCTCACGTTGCAACTATGAAAAGGAGAAGTTATCAATGGTTTTATGCATCCTAAAATAAGAGGCAATAGAAATAGGAGAGGGGAAGAGAGAGACTAGGGGTATTATTCGAGAAAGAAAGGAAGAAGTTTTTTTTTGTGCTTGTAAGGGGAGTTATTTGAATCCTTCAAGAAGTTGAAAAAAATGTTGCTATTTTAGTATTTTTCAGTTATAGTAAAAGAGGAAAAATTGGTCATAGTAGGGAATATTTTTCAGTTAGACTTATGTAATAAAAAGAGGAAGGGAGGAGCTAAAGTAACAACAGCATCTCTTTTTCCATGTATAGACCTCATCTTTGCAGCAGATAACTTCATTTTCTCTGAGCTAAACCAAGAAATATTTTTGTCCATATCCACAATTTTAAATGGAAGTGTAATCCTTCATCACCTTTTTTAAAGGTTATAGTGTATTATTTAATATTTGTGTGGTCATGGATGTCGGTGTAGGTTTACTTAAGATGAACCACAAAAAAATTTGATGTTATTTTTTGTGTGCTTCATCTGTTCTATAGTTACTTTGTGATTCATCGTGCTTATTGTTTGGTAGAGGAGCACTCTCTTTCCTAGCATATTAATGCATGATGGAGTGAAATATAAACAAAATATTATTTTTTGATGGAATCTGAACAATCCACAACAGCTGTGGGTGGATATTCCCTGAAGGTTAGTTTTTTTTTCTTAAGTGGCAGACCTGTAGAGGCGTTAGGTGGGATATTTTTTGTGGAAATATGGTACCATATTTACAAGTACATTTGTTAAAGTATCTTTATAATTTATTGAACATGGTTATATAGTAGTGATTACAATTAGCAGTTTTGCTAGTTTTTATTTTTATTTTTATTTTTATTTTTATGAGTGTTATGGTTATGTTTCTTTCATTAACAGCAGCATTTGCAAGTTCCAATCCGTTTTCTGTGTGCAAGATGAAGGTTAAATTAATTTTAGGTGCGAGTGTTTTGCTCCTTTTTCTCATACGTCGCTGCATAATGATAAGGGGAGAGTAATTGGATGTTCAATCACATATAAAGCATGCACATGCAATTAGAAGGTACAAGGTCTAATTAATTCTATTTAACAACCAAATCCTTTATTCTTGACAATTTTAACGTTTGCTGCTAGTCCCATCTTGCCTTTTCGTGGCTAATCCTAATTTTGAATCCCGCCTTCTGTTTATCTGTGTAGCTGATTCCTGGAATTTCTATTGCACTTGGCATCATTGTAATCTCCTAGAATGTTATGCCTCGATACTTTCCATAGCATTCACCCATCCGAATAATAGTTATGAAGCCTAGCCTTATTATTTTGTCAATTTCTCCATATGATTTTTCATTTTGTTGTTCTTGTCTGCTTAATGATAGATTTCTTTGTTTATTCATCCTAATTACATCAACAACAACATCAAATCTTTATCCCACTATGTAGTTGGCTACATGAATCCTTTTTCTCCCTTATGTCCTATGAAGAGTCAAATTCTCAATTAAATCTAATAAAAAATATCATTTTTAATGCTTTCTAACTAAGTTTTCTTTAGGTCTACCTCTATCTTGCTTAACATAGGCCATAAAAGTTAAATTTTCATTTAAATCTAATAAAAAAGTCATAATACTTGTAACCAAATCTTTTTAGGTCTACCTCGATCTTTCTTAACATAGGCCCGATTTAATACATCTACTTTTATAATTAGGTCATCGAAAGACCGATGTTTTATATGACCAAACATCTAATTCAACTCTCTCTAATCTTATGTGTCACTGGAGCTACTCAAATCTTTTTATGTATATACTGTTTTGGAATTCTATCTCTAAGTGTAAAATCACTCATCAACCCGAGCATCCTCATTTCTATAACACTTAACTTAATTTTATGCTTCTCTTTAATGGTCAACATTCTGCGTCATAAAATATTGTAGGTCTCACCACCATCTTATGAAAATATTTCTTAAATTTGAGGGCTATTTTTTTATCACACAATAGGCCTGATGCATTCCTCCATTTCAACCATTCCACTTGAATTCTACTAATAGTATTTCCATCTATTTCACGATCGCTTTGAACAATAGACTCGAGATATCTAAAACGTGTACTCTTTTTAACAATTTTATTGCCCAAAGTCACTATCTCCTCTACTAGATCTATTAGTACTAAAATTATTCTCCATGTTCAATTTTAATTTTACTCAAATGAAATCCTTTAGACTCTAAGGTTTACCTTCATAATTTAAGTTTTTCTTTAACTCCCTCTTTAGTCTTATCAACAAGAAGAATATCATCAACAAAAAGCATGGGTACATCTTTTTGAAAATGTTTAGTAATAATATCCATGACTCAAGCAAAAAGATACGAGCTTAAAGCTGATCCTTGACGTAAGCCAATTGAAATAATAAAATATTTAGTCAAATCACCTTGTATTTGAGCACAAGTAACCGCTCCTGTATACATATCCTTAGTGATTTGGATATAAGTATTATTAACTCTTTTTTTTTGTAGAACTCTCCGGAGCACTTCTTTTGAAACTTTATCATATACTTTTATCTAAATTAATAAATATCATATGTAGATCCTCCTTACTGTCTATTAATACTACTATAGAAAGATACTAAATTTGATTTTTTTAGTTTCGTAGACTTATCTCTTTGAATCAGCTTTAAAGTAATATACTATCTGTTATCCCAGCATATATCAACTGTTCTCAAGGATATTACCGACAGTGTCTACTGTATGCTCATGCTGCACCTTATCCATATTTTGATTTGTGCTTATTGTCTCGAATTGTACTGTGTCAAGCCTTCTTGATGTAAAACAATGCTGATATTTGATCTTTAATGATTAGTTTTCTATGAATTCTTTAAGGCTTGAATTTAGTATAATCTCTAACTCTTGAACTACTTTTTCTTATTCACCCATCTACAGTTTATCCCGTGACCTGGCATTTTGATCTAAAACATTTCTGATACTACTTTCTTCTATTTGTTTTCTTTGAATTCGTTTAGCTTTAAAGTTGTTTTGATCTGCTACTATTGAGCCAGTTCTTTTCGTTCATCCCATCTAAAATTTAGCCCTTGAACTTATTATTCTCTGTAACTCTTCACGACTTCCTCCGGTTCATCCCATTAACAATTTGGCTCTTGATGTCATCCACTATTTTTATTCTTCTTCCCTAGGTGATAGAGCACAATACCTGTTATATTTGTTAATTTCTGTTTTGGCTAACCAACTCGTTTGAACATGTTAAAAAATGGGCGTGTCACTTATTATTATTATTATTATTTATTAATTTTAATTTTCTTTTTATTCTCATTTTTAAGTTAATCTTCTTAAGCCTCAACTACAGTGAAACAGAACAAATGTTTGGCAACAACAATTTTCTTCTGTTTTATTATTTGAGCTCTCAGCTTACAGCGACCACAAACAATTGGGATAAAGCCTGGATGATGCTGATGTTTGTGATTTCAGGAATTTCTTAAATTATTTAATTTTTTATAGTGCTCGCATGATAATAGTATAATACAAATGCTTCGTTTGCATTGCCCAAAATTTTAGAAATAATACTCGAGTAGACAGTCTAATGTCTCATATAACCTCTCCCCTTCCCTCGATAAATGTATTTTATTAAAATCTTGGATAAAACTTTGGCTTTTTATCCGCTTTGGTTGATGAACAAATATTTTTTGTCTAGAATTCTAACTCGGAAGTTCATATCTTGGATGAAACTTTGGCTTTTCATACAACCATGTGGTCTAGGCATTTGTGGGGGGAGGGGACGTGCTAAAAATTTTTTTTAGTGAACGCCACCATCTTATGCTCTCTCTCTTGTTGTTTTATTTTTTTTCTACTGCATCAAAAGTTCAATTATTATTCATGCAACTTTTTTCACTTTTAATAGTTAATAATCCCATTCAAATAGAAGCTTTTGAAGGCCATTAAAGTTCTGAAATAAGAGTCCACTTAATTTTTCTTACTTTATTGATTACATATAAATTTTTTTAACAATCATATATTTTAAAGCTAATATTTTTATTATTTTTTAATTTCTTTACATATGTAATTTTATGCTATTTAAATATAATAAAAATTCACATGTTAATTTTTTTTTTAATTTTATAAAAATATCATATAATTTTATTTAATTTTATGTTATATTACTTTTATAAGTATTATGTAATTAGAATTTGTTTGGAACAACTTTTTAACTGCTTTAATATTAAGGCAATAATCCTTTTTTTTTGCTACTGTTTTCTATCTATTTTTCAAATGTTTTTTTATAGAGGAAGTTTTTTAACTTCCAAAGTAGCTGAATTAATTTTTCTATGCTACCAAAGTTTGTTCTACTATAAGTTGTTTATCATTTTATATTTAATATTCTACTTCTTACATAATAATTTGAAAAAAAAATTTAATACTTCCTATGTTGATCCCAAGCCTAGATGTAAAAGGTTGAGGGAAAATTTAAAAAAATTAATTTAGGGCACTCCTAAATGCATTTTCTTCTGGCTCCGCCACTGGGTCTAGGCGATTAGAATCAAGCTTTATGTAATATAATGATTCTCATTGTCTGTCTTCCAGTAAAGTTTGAAATGTTTAAATTTTTCATCAGATGGAAACATAATTGCTTTCTATGTCGATTGAAAAACACTAATGCTGTTTGCATAATTTCTTGCTTCCTATATCTCTGTATAGCTTCACTAGTTCATCATTGTTGTTGATGGAAAATTCTGCTGCTCTTTAAACAGGTAAAGAATCCCTCTGCTCGTATTGAGCATGAGGCAAGCACTTCCAAGATTGGCGAGGATCAGCTATTTTACTTTCAGCAGAGGGGAATCGATCAAGAGAAGGCTGTTGCAGTCATGATTGGTGGTTTCTGCAGGGACGTTTTTGATAAGCTCCCATTAGAATTCGCCGCGGAGGTAAATGCTCTTATGAACCTTAAGTTAGAAGGGTCTGTTGGCTAATCAGAGCTCACTTTCAATAATCTGCCATGGTTAATGTAAAGTCATGCACTCTGCAATAGGTTTTCAATGTAAATTAACACATTTTATTGTAACAAGATGGAATTATAGCGATATCTAATAAAGAAAAATTTGTTTAAAGTAGTTAGAATCTTGGTTTTGTTCCTATTTTTAAGTTGCTCAGTTGCCAAGACTGATGAATAATAATGCCTTTTAAATTATATGAATGGAAGTGTGCTTGCAATCTCTTATAATTAATTTGTAGCTGCAGTGAGGCCTGTTTGTTGTTCGAAGTAGAGCCTTTTATTTCCTTGAAACAGGATCCTGCACTGTAAAAGTACCTAGCGAATATGCAATAATTTGTTATCAGGATCTCAACATTTTTAATTTTCCTCCAGTTATAGAATGGTCAAATAAAAGGTCATAGATTTGTATAAGTTACTGCAATCTTCTTAGATAAACGGCATACTCATTTTGTGCATTTTCCTTCTCTTCAGAATTTGAGTTATCTTACTCATTTTTATGTTAGCCCCAACAATAACATCTAAGCCTTTATTCCACTATGTCAGATGGGTTATATGAATCTTTTTTTTAATTGTATAATATTAACCCTGTTATGATTGTTCGACAAATTTTATACTATTATGTTTTTCTAGGGGTGTTAAAAGTTGACACGACCCGTATCCGACCCGGAAAAATCTGGGTTCGGGTCAACCCGTTTGTTAAACGGGTTGGGTCTGGGTTCGGATTTATGACTCGTCTAAAAAGCTGGTCGGGTTCGGGTTGACTCGACAACCCACGTGTCGACCTGAATTGACCCGTTTTGTCATCACACACATCAGGTCGCGTCCGAGCTGCCCATTAGGTCGCATCCGTGACGTCGCGTCCGTGTTACGGTGTCTGGTCGCGTCTGCCGTCGGCGTCACAGGTCGCGTCCGTGTCCAGGGGTCCTGCGTCAGCGGCTCGGCTCTTCCCGCGACCGCATCCAAGCGTCTCGCGTCCGACATTTAGGAGTCCCACGTCCGGCGTCTGCGTCTAGCCGTCCAGGCGTCCCGTGTCCAGGCATCTGCAGCCTCCGGCCCTCCGCTTCGCTTAGCTCCGGCGCTCCGCAGATGTTCGCGGGTCAGGTTGAGTCAACCCGGTAACCCGCACGGGTCGGGTTCGGGTTGACAAACCTGATCCTTTTGCAAAATTGGGTCGGGTTAGGGTCAACCCATTTATGTCTGGTCAAGTCGGGTTTGACCCGAACCCAACCCGTTGACCCGTATTGACAGTCCTATGTTTTTCTCATCTAGGACTTGAAATATGACCCCGACATTCTAAAATTAACAAATGCATTGCTTATATTTATGGATTCTTACATACCATGGCTGTCCAAGTTGACAGGATTCTTATGTCTATATTGCATGGTTGTCTTAGGCTTCATTTTGGAGAATTTTTTTATTGTTTTCTAAAGTAATTTTTTAGTGCAAAAAATTCTAGCTCAAAAAATATTTGTTCTAAAAAATTATTTTAAAAAACCGTCCAAAAGCTGTCCAAAACGAAGCTAGATTCGTTTGGGACGGCTTTTTTTTTGCTTCTTAAAACAGTTTTCTAGTTCAAAAATTTAAATTTTGTACTAAAAAATTGTTTTTAGAAGCATGAAAAAAGTTGTCCCAAACGAAACCTTAATCTACATTACATATCTTTTTGTCATATGTTTCTGTTGAGCCATGAGATTGTTTGGAAGCTGTTTTCAACGAACTGTTTTACCTCCAATGAGAACATTTAGTATATTACCTCTTTTGATCATCCAGCGTATTTTTTTATTTTACACTGAAATTTTTTCCCACTAGATCAGATATGGCAGCCATGCACGTAACAAATGGTTCTGGTATAAAAATTTCAAGCAGTTTTTCCATTTCTTAAGCACTCATGAGGACCTGTATGTACTTATGGCTTCAGAATTATGATTTTGTAATCAGTAGGGTAAGTTTTTGTTCAAGAGCTTATTGGGACATCTGAAAAACTTCCATTTCTCAAGGAAATGTTGCTTGGAGTTTAGAAAGCAACAACTATACTAGGATTAGAAATTCTTTAAGATGGATGAATAGATGCAGAGGGGCAAATTTTCTTAGACAAAAATTTGGATGCGTAGTGCTGTGGGCTAGAGTTTTATGCATCCTTGGAAGTTTTCTCCCCCTCTTAGCGGAGAGATTATTAGGTGCGAAGTGCGGACGGGGGAGAACTGTCCGCACAAATATTGGGTACCTAGTTGTACCCGCACTCGGTACCGCTGGGTACCGTTAGGTACCCAGTGCTTGTGTGGACGGTGCGCACTCCGTATCTAATAATTTTTCCTCTTAGCGATGCCCTTTCTTCTTTCTCTCTTGGATGGTTTTCCTTGAAGTGCTTGGCTAATAGTTTTTATTTTTTATTTTATGATTTTATCGCCTTGGCTCTTATTAAAGAGAAATTATTCTGTGCGGAGACCGGACGCAGAACATCATTCGGGGACCAACCAGAATGAGCCATTGCCACCGTACTGAGCGGTACGAGCGCAAGGGTGACGTGACGCATATTTGTTAGTCTTCGGATGCGTTCGGCAGCCGCACAGAATAATTAATCATATTTATTTATTAAAGCGGGCATGTCAGTACTCTTTTTTTCTACATATTTCTCTCTCTCTCTTCTTATCCCAATTTTTGCATAACTCTTTTATCAAGGGAAATAACACTACTGGATCTTTTATCCTTCTCTCATCTATGGGTTCTATTTTAGCCTATCGCAATATGTTTCCTCCTCTCTTCCCTTCTAAGCCCTCTATCATTCAAACATAGATATAGAATTGGTCAGCAAGCTTGAGCACAAGTTTGGTCAAAATTTTTATATAAGAAAGTTAATTTAAAAATCAGTAAAAAAATCGTCCCAAATAAAATCTTAGTATAACTTTAAGCTTCTTACTTTACGGTCGCTTCTTCATGTTTAAATTTTCTTGTTTGAATGATTATGAAATAGGTTGAAATTGCTTCTACAACGGATATCCTTTTCTATCTAAATAGTGGGCTTGGGCTTTTAAGCCTATTAAAAAAGACTATTTATTTTCCTTTATAAATAAAATTTCTTATTTTTCTCTTTGCTATTGGAATAAGAAATTTTATAGACAATTTGACCATAACCTAATCTCTGCTCACTTTTATCATAATATATTCCACCTCTTCCCTTTTTGACACAATTCTCATTAATCTTTTCCCCTCCTACTCTCGCATCTTCTATTTTCAATATCATGCTCACCTCCTCTCATTCGGACAACGGACACCGTCCGGAGGCGAATCAAAGCGTGCCACGTCACATTTTTGTTGTGTATCGTGACTGTATACCTGCTATGTACTAAGTGACGTGACGCACTCCGATTCGCCTCCAAACAACTCGATATCCACACAGAATAATTTCTCCTCATTCGGTCACTAACAACTTCCACACCCTATATACCTTAATTGTCGAGTGTAGTTCGTAAGGAAATAATTGAACTTGTTGAGGTTAAAACAATTTTTAAATCTTTGTTGAATCATCTTTTTCATTAGGATGATATTGCTTTTTGAAAATAAAAAGTTATTGAAATAATTTCCTCTTTTTTCTCTCGTACATTTCTCTAGTTTGGAAAAATGAAGAGAACGAAATACTATAAGGGTTTTATTAAACCTGATAATGGAATTAGATATTTAATAGTAAAATAATAATATAATATAAATATAATTATATAATTTAATCAATCTTCACTATAAAAAATTTATATAAATTTTTTTGGAGCTTAAAAAATTATAGAAAAATATTCATAAAATAATTCATTTTTTTAAAAAAATTTTGATAAGATTTATTTGCAAAACAGACATTTGACTGACCCAAACCCATACTTATACCTACACGTGTTAATTTCTTAAATATTTTCACCAATTCCTAAAAATTATGAAAAAAATGATAAAATTAAATCACTATAATATCTATCTTATTACATAGATGATTTGTGATTTGAACTTACAATAACTCCTAAAAAATTTATTTGATTAAATTAAAATACGAATTATTATAATATTTCCCATAGCTAGAAAGGGTAAGAATATAATTTAAAAATTTTCATTTCTCCTTTCAAATCGATTTGTTATTTTAACTTTTTTTAAATAATAAGTAACAAACCTAAAAATATAGAGCTTTGTTTTTTAAATTACAATCATAATTTTTATTTAGCTATACTTTTTCGTTGTTCTTAAAATTTTTTGTGCTATAAAATCTTTTCTTATAGCAGATTTAAAAAAAAAAACTTTCCTAACAACAAATTTAAATCATATTTATAAAATGTTGCAATCATCCGAAACGATCCGTTAAGTTTACTAAATATTACATACGAATAAATCTTTATGTTCATATTTCAATTTGGCTTTAAAGCTCTAAGTGAGATACTAACAATCTTACAATGATCATTATCTATTCATGCTCGTCAACTCTTAAACTATGCATGTAACATGTTACCCACGAGAACATGTATTTGTCGTCCAACATCATATAAACGTTCACTAACATTCAACTCGCATTGCCTATCATCACCTTCCACCAACATTAGGGAAGTCAATTTGGGTCAAGGGTTCAAGTTCGGGTGAAATCTAAAATTGATCCGACACTATTTGACATGACCCAAATCTGACCCATTTTTGTAAACAGGTCAGAAAATGCAACCCGGACTTGACTCGCCGGGTTGACACGACCCGACAAGAAACGGGATTTCAGACGAAGCATCACATGAAGGGAGGAATCATTGCTATGGTTGAAGCCGCTGCCGAGTTGAATTTTGAACGCAAAGGGAGGAATAGCCCATAATCCTAGGTCGACGAGCTAAACCCTAGGCCAGTGGCGAGCTAAACCCTATAAAGGATGAGTGGACGGTCGAGACTCAGGAGGGAATGTCGCAGTTAGCCTAGCTGCTTAGGTTTAGAGCCTAGGGTCGAGTCGAACAAAAGAAATGGCAGAAGGCGGTCGGCGGAGTCGCAGGACGGCACGCTTGGCGAAGTCCGGGTTGACTCGTGAGTCACGAGTGTAGGCGGAGTCCGGGAGTGCGGGCGGAATGAAATCTGCGAACATAATTTTGGTTCATTGTCCGGTTGATTTCAAGTTTCTAGGTCAACACAAACCCGACCCACTTTTTGAAACGGTCAAAAATTCGAACCCGAACCCGACTCATTTGCTAACTCAAATTTTTTACATTGTATTATTCCTTCTCTAGTTACAGACAAAGGTAAATTTTTGTATTTGTAAACTCAAATTGATATGTTTATTTCAATTGGGCTAAACCCTATACTTTTTTTTGTCCAAAGTTAAAATTTTTTGCCATTTGTAATCTTCCTTCTCTATATAGCTCGCCCATAAATGTGATTTGTTAGGGCCAGTTCAACAAAGGTATTTTTACCTGCTTTGATAAATCTTAACCTATCAATCTCTGTAGAGAACCATTTCGGGACATCCAAAGCAACACGTCCGCTTATAGCGCTCGTCCTTTCTGTTCCTTTCCTGTATTTTCTCGCTTTTTTTACCTCTTCTTCTTCCTCCTCTCCTTCCCCTCTCTTTCTCTCTCTCCTTCTCAAATAAGGCATTTTGATCCTTGAAGCTTTGATTGGGGGGATTATGAAGTTTTTTCTAATCTGCATTCAGAAAAAAAAAAAAAAAACTTTTTCCCTAATATTATTTAAAGGTTCATCTTCTTTGCATTGTGACAACCTTTTTTCTCTTGGAATTACTACATAACCATCTATATGATCAATTGATGCAGAACAAAACACTACTATTTTCCCTAAGTAGAGAAAATTTTAACTAGAGAGGATAAAAATATAATTTCAATTTTTTCATTTCTCCTTTCAAATCGATTTGTTATTTTAACTTTTTTTTAATAATAAGTAACAAACCTAAAAATATATAGTTTGAATTTATTATTTTAAAAAATATGATATTGTTCTTTGATCAATGGGTCATATGTTCCTTCAAACATGTTAAGAGAGTGCATTTAATTGATTTAATTGGTTTTATCGTATTATCAAAATAATAAAAAACGTAATTAAGAGTACTATGATCTATTTTTAAAGGTAAGATTTAGATTTTGTTTGAGAATTGAGAGTTATCTTACAGCTTTATTTTTCATATTGCAATTATAATTTTAATTTCTCTATTGTTTTTTCACTGTTTTTAAAAATTTTTTTAGCTATAAAATCTTTTTTTATATCAGATTAAAAAAAAAAAAAAACTTTCCCAACAACTTTAAACAAATATTTACAAAATGTTAAATTCGTCCCAAAAGATCTGTTAGATTAACTAGTATTTCATACACATTAATCTTTATGTTCAGTTTGGTTTTAAAGCTCTAAGTGAGATACTAACAATCTTACATTAATGATCATCATCTATTCATGCTTGTCAACTCTTAAACTATGCATGTAACATGTTACCCACAACATCATGTACTTGTCCCTCCGACATCATCTAACGTTCAGTAACATTCAACTCCCATTGCCTATCATCACCTTCCACCAACATTAGCGGTGCCAATTTGGGTCCATAGGTCGAGTTCGAGTCGAATCAAAAATTGACTCAACACTATTTGACAGGACCTGAACCCAACCTGTTTTTGCAAACGGGTCAAAAAATGTAACCTGGACTTGACCCTACGGGTTACCGTGTTGACACGGCCCTACTCGAAACGGGATTTCAGCAGAAGCAGCACTCGAAGGGAGGAATTGTCGCTCTCGTCGAAGTTGCCGCCGGATTGAATTTCGAACGCGAAGGGAGGAATCGACAATAAGCCTAGGCCGGTGGCGAGCTAAACCCTATGAAAGACGACGGGACGGTTGAGACTCGGGAGGGAGTGTCGCTGGCAGCCTAGTTGCTTAGGTTTAGAGCCTAGGGTAGAGTTGAGCAAAAGAAATGGCAGAAGGCGGTCATCGAGGCCACAAGACGGCGTGCTTGGCGAAGTTCGTGTTGTATTGCGAGTCATGAGTGCAGGCGGAGTCCGTGAGTGCGGGCGGAGTTTGCAGGTGCGGACGGAATGAACTCGGAGAACAAATTTCGAGTCATTGTTGAGTTGATTTTAGGCTTCCAGGTCAACCTAAATCCGACCTGATTTTTGAAACGGGTCAAAAATCCGAACCCGAACCTGACTAGTTTGCTAACTGGGTCAACTCAAACCCAAATTTTTCCGAGTCGGACCTGAATTAGATTTCGGGTCGTATCAAAAATTGGCACTCCTAACCAACATCATTGCTTGATGATATTTTTCATCCCTTAGCTATGCCATCTACTTTCAACAGCCATGACCACCTCTTATGAATACAATATCCAAGACTCGTAATTTTTTACATTGTATTATGCCTTCTCTATTTACAAACAAAGGTAGATTTTTGTATTTGTAAACTCAAATTGATATGTTTATTTCAATTGGGCTAAACCCTAAACTTTTTTCTCCAAGTTAAAATTTTTTGCCATTTGTAATCTTCCTTCTCTATATAGCTCGCCCATAAATGTGATTTGTTAGGGCCAGTTCAACAAAGGTATTTTTACCTGCTTTGATAAATCTTAACCTATCAATCTCTGTAGAGAACCATTTCGGGACATCCAAAGCAACACGTCCGCTTATAGCGCTCGTCCTTTCTGTTCCTTTCCTGTATTTTCTCGCTTTTTTTACCTCTTCTTCTTCCTCCTCTCCTTCCCCTCTCTTTCTCTCTCTCCTTCTCAAATAAGGCATTTTGATCCTTGAAGCTTTGATTGGGGGGAAGGAGGAAGAAGAAGAAGATGTTGCAGAGAGCAGCAAGCAATGCCTATTCATGGTGGTGGGCGAGTAATATACGGACGAAGCAGTCCAGATGGCTTGACAGCAATCTCCAAGGCGAGTTCTTTCTTCTTCACCTTCCCTTTTTGTTAATGATGGAAGTACACGAAATTGGGAATAGTTTTTGTTGATTGTGTGTGTGTGTGAGATGTAGATGGCCTTCTAGGTTTTAAATGCTTGATGAGGGTTTATTTTGTTGATAAATTGATGAGAAATGGGATTTATTGGCATCCATGGATCATAAATTTGGCCACTATTTTTCTCCAGATTAATCTTAGTACAGTTATTGTATTCGTGTTGAAATTAAATTTTTGGATCTTTGTGGAATGAAGCTCAAGCTAATAATGAGAAATTATTCTGCGAGGACACCGGACGGTCTGGTGATCAATCAGAATGCGTCATATCACTCATTACGGAGCAACAATATCGAGCAAAAAAATAAGATGAGGCATTCTAATTGGCCTCCGGACACCGTCCATAGAGAATAATTATTCCTAGTTGATTACATCTTTCACATTTTTTAATTGCGTAGCATAATACTTTAGTAGCAAAATTTTAAGCCCTGTTTGTCATCCATTTTCTTATTTATTTATTTTTTAAAATATGCTTGTATAAATGTGTTTTAAATAAATTATTTTTTTATTTTAAAATAAATCAAATTGTTTTAAAAAACCATTAAAATAAAGTTTAGTTGCTTTAAGGGCTATTTGATTTGATATAAAATGGGTGTAAAGTATTTCGAATACAAAGATTTTGAAAACATTAATGTTTGAGTTGAAGTAAAATTTTGATGTATTTTAAATATAACATGTAGAAATTTAATACATTTGGATTTTGTGTGATTTGAATGATTTTCAAATATACCATAAATTTATCATCATCATTGCTGCCTGTCATCACCATTGCTAACCGCCGCCACCCATCTTTAGCAATCATCGCCCACTGTTGACCGTTGTCCCTCTTCTAATAGCCACAACCACCACTCGTCGCCTGCCCTCCGTTGCCGCCACCTGCCACTGGCAGCCATGGCTGTCAGCCGTCATCGACAACCACTACAACCGCCGACCTCCACCACCTTTGTTGGCCACCAACCACCAGCTGACTACCAATCACCACTATCTTTGAATTTTATAATACATTTTACTTCAAACAAAAAAAAAAAAACACACACACACACACAATCAGTTGCATTTATGTTACACTTATCCAAATAACTCCTCAACATTTCAATTACAATGCATTCATTTTACCCTTCATTTTTTTTCCCAACCAAATGTCCCTTGCATTTTTAAAAACCACCACCACCAAGTTGCCATCTTTTTTATTTGATATAGAATAAAATATAAATAATTTCTACTTAAAATATCAAATATATGTGTTATTTTATATTAAAATAAAATAAAATAAAATAAAACTATATATCCTCTTATTAAATAGCATGATTCTTAAATCAAAATTCTTGACTTAAGATGGTGATTTGGAAAAGATAAGTAGCTAAGAGATGAATAACAACTGTGAACAATTCATATTGTTCCCTTCCTATATGCAAGTAAAGAAGATTTCAGCTCCTATATCTTTGCAGAAATGGAAGAAATGGTGAAGAACATGATCAATCTTATAGAAGTGGACGCCGACTCCTTCGCCAAAAAGGCGGAGATGTACTACCAGAGGAGACCGGAATTGGTTAACTTCGTCGAAGAGGCCTATCGAGCTTACAAAGCTTTGGCCGATCGATACGATCGGATTTCAGGAGATCTGCACAAGGCCAACCACGCCCTTGCAGCAGCTTTCCCGGATCAGTTTGCAATGCGAGACGATGACGACGATGGCTCGCCAAGAGAATTCACTGCAATAGATACCAGTAAGCATCGCAAGGCGCCACAAGTTGATTTGCCCCTGATTAACTTGAGAAACAGAAGTAGAGATGCCTACACCCTGAAGAGGAATCGCAATAAGGCAAGCTCAAATATCACCAAGGAGAATGCGCAGGATGAGATAGATCGGCTTCAGAAAGAAATTCTCATTCTACAGACGGAGAAAGAATTCATCAAGAGTTCCTATGAGAGCAGCCTTGCCAAGTTCTGGGAGATTGAGAGCCAGATCACTGGTTTTCAAGATGAGATATACACCTTACAGGATGAGTTCAGTGCAAGTTCCATAATCGAAGACAATGAAGCCCGGGCCCTGATGGCGGCGACGGCGATCACATCATGTGAAGAAAGCTTGGTCAGCTTGCAGAAACAACAGAAGATATCGAGTGAAGAGGCAGACATAGAATCTAAGAGAATCAGGGAAGCTAGAAACAGACTACAGTTCCTCAAGGGAGAGAATTGCTTACCAGAAATGGAGAAGATGTCTGACAAAGAAGCAAGTAAGAACAACGATGAAGTGTTTCACCATAAAAATGGTGGGCTGGATCTGTACTCTATGTGTTTACAGGTGAAGCAGCACTTCCAGATTAGCTCTCACACATCGGTTGTCGATCTTGCCGAACGGATTGATGAACTTGTAGAAAAAGTTATAAGCTTGGAGGTAACAATCTCATCACAAACAGCGCAAATACAGACATTGAGGTTGGAGACTGATGAGCTTCAGAAGCACCTTCGGGAACTGGAGGAAGATAGAGAAAATTTGATAACTGATTCCAAAGGATTGAATGTGAGGGTGAGGCAGGCAGAAGATAAGCTGCATAGAATTCAGGATCTTGAGAAAAACGTGCATGATGAGGAAGGGATCTTTCAAACTCATTTTGTGGAGGCTTGCAACAGTCTGAATAATATTTCAGAAAAACTAGAGTCTCCTAGTCATAAGGAGAAGGATAGCAGTTCAGCTTCTAAAATAACAGAAAAATTGGAGAAGAAGAGTAATGGAGTAGAACTGAGAAATAACTCTAAAGATGATAGTGGTGATGCAGCTCAAAAGAATGAGGTACATATGAAGGAGCAGCATGAGCCTAGTGCTATTTCACATTCTAATGAAGCTTCTTCTCAGATAGTTAATGCTTCAGAGAAATCAAAAGTAGAACAACTTGATGGAATGGACTCATCAATAGTAGAGAATAATGAGCTTGAAGACAACGAAGGTATTTCTGGGTGGCAGGAGCTGTTTAATAAGGGACCAGAAGAGAGGCATAAAATACTACTCTATGAGTACACGTCGATTCTGCGAAATTACAAAGATGCGAAGAAGAGACTGAGCGAGATGGAGAAGAAGAACAAAGAGTACCACTTCGAGATGATGGCACAGATTCAGGATCTGAAGAGTGTGAATGCTGTGAAGGACCAGGAGATAAGAGCTTTAAGGAGGAAACTGTTCTCTCACACTACTAATGGTGCAGCAAGTTCTCGGAAAGAAACTCAAATGCAGAGCAAAGAAGAAGAAAATGGAAGCACCATTAAAGTAAATACAACCAAATCAGATTCTCCAATTGAGATCATTGGCTCCGAAGAGGAAGTCAAGCTATGCTATTTAGATCAGCAGCATAAAACTTCACCCATTGAGGAAAAGTTCAGAGCTGAGCTGGACACTCTTCTTGATGAGAATCTCGACTTCTGGCTAAGATTCAGCACTTCTTATTATCAAATACAGAAGTTTGAAACAACCTTCAAGGAGGTGCAAGCTGACCTGAAGATGCTCAAGGGGCATAATAAGGAAGTTAGATCAGCTGCTGCATCCCCAAAGCAAATATTAAAACAAGATATGTCGCTGCTCGATAAGAAACTGAGGGAGTTTCATACTGAGCTCCAAGTTTGGCTAGAGCAGAATGAAATACTGGAAGCAGAGCTTCAATTCAGGTTCAAAACTCTCTGCAACATGCAGGAAGAGATTTCAAAGGCTTCGAGTGACACTGAAATTGAGGACTCGAAGTTCACTCCTTACCTAGCAGTAAAGCTCCAGGGCGAGCTGCTCAACATGCAGCAGGAAAACAATAAAGTTACGAAGGAGTTGCAAACTGGTTTGGATCATGTGAAAGCAATTCAATCCGAGGTTGTCAAGGCTCTATCAAAATTGAGGAAGAGCTTCAATCTCTCGGGTTCCAAGGGGAACCAAAAAAACCAAAACACTAGGCACTGGAGCGCAAAATCTAAGGTTCCATTGAGAACTCTTTTGTTCGGCGAAAAGCGAAAGAAACAATCCTTCTTCTCATGCATGATCCCAGCACCCAACAGGCATCATGACCACAAGAAGTCTGGGTCTACTACTTGATAAGCAGAGGTGGATTGGTGGTAATGGTTTGGGGTCTGTTTTGTTCTTCCAACTGTTTTTGTAGTGTTGAGAGGATGCAGTTACTCCTTTGTACTCTAAGCTGATTGGTCTAACTAGGCAACTACTATAAAAACCCAAATTGATGGAAAAGATATAACCAAAGCTTAATAGAAACTATATCGACTATTAAGCTTTTAAAAAGTTGCAAAATTTGAAAAAGTAGTCAAAATTTGAGCTTGGCTTCAGCTTTAACTATATCAACCAAGACAAGGAAGGCTTCATAATGATTACATTTAACTTGGTTATACTTAAATGAGGTCAAATTGGTTGCTAATTTTCATAAACATGAGAGAAATCAGGCTCAAATTTTGAACTACTTTTTCAAATAATTTTCAGAAAAGTTCTTAACATCTTTTGTAAGAGAATGAAACACGACCAATCAAGACCTCTCATCTCAATTATGAGAGAACTATCAACAATTTATCATTGCGGTTACCACTAAGTTCTTAATCTTAATCTTGTGCCCAGGTCTCTACTCATGGAAACAAAGGAAAATTCAAGTATGAAAAGTTTGAGCATGACAAATCTGGTATCATTTTTGACGGAAGTGGACAGAAGGGATTCCTGCACTTGCTGACTTCACTGGCTATGTGATGTAGGGCAAAATGCTTGATTAAATATGTAATATTGAAAATACACGCCTTCTGAATTAAAGCAATGATTAATTATATTTACTTTTTGATACATCCACAAAAAAATTATATTGAACGGGCACGAATCTCGAGACAAAATCAAGTTGGAAACTTCAAAAATTAATTCGGAGATCATCCTAACCCTGATTTCAACAAACTTACAGTCGAACTGAGCGTCTCGGAAATACGAACCCACCGACACCAAAATTGACTCAATCCGAATCCAAATGGATCTAAACCAAGGGTTCAAAGCGCTGTTGGAGGGTTCAAACCACAATTTGGATCACCAAACGGTTTCCAAATATTACGTGCTTATAGTCAAATCGAGCGACTCGATGAGACGAATCCAACGAGCCTAAGATCGCCGAATTCCGACATCATTAACACCTTCAAATGTCTGACAAACGGTCCATGATCAAGGGATTCAATATCGACCATCCATCCAACCACTCTCCATTTACTCTTGATCTCTCACCTATTTACGGGCCATGCCACTCCAGAAATCTATACATAGACCAATCCTTTCTCTTGAAAAGGAGGCTCCAAGTAAGAGAGCAAGAGAGAGATTGGAGATCGCTCTTGCCTCCTCGACTACTGCCTGAGTTTCGCCGGAGGTGCCTGACGTCATTGCTCCGCTGGACCTCCACTTGAAGCCCTCACCTCCGCCGGACCATCACTTGAGGCCCTGTGCTCCACCAGGTCACAACCTAACACCCGAACTTCTGTCGGACCACCGTTTGAGGCCCGGAGTTTTGCCGGACCACCACCTGAGGCCCGAACTTCCGCCTGACCACCACTTGAGGCTTTGTGCTCCACCAGGCCACCACTTGAGGCCCGGACTTCTGCTGGACCACCACCTGAGGCCCGAACTTCTCTCAGACCACCACCTGAGCCTCGGACTTCTGCCGGATCACCACCTAATGCCTAGACTTCTGTCAAACCCTCACTTGAGGCCCTGTGCTGCACCAGGCCACCACTTGATGTAATATCAGTTTTTGCTCCAGGTTCGTCCGGACGAAGTCGGATCGTCCGGGACGATCGGTACAGGTTGTGCAGAGAAAATCATGTTTGGCTGTATGGTTCGTCTGGACGAAATCAGGATCGTCTGGACGAAAATAAGTCAGAGAACCCTTCGCCGGGGACGATATTCAATTTTCGTCTGGACGAAATAATTCTCTTCATGCATGTAATGTGCTTTATATGATGTACATTTGTGATATCAAGCCAATGCCTTCTCTCAAGGAAGGGCCTCATTTGTAATCGATTATAAATACTTTTGGATTCATTCAAACTGGGCCAGGCCCCATGGTTTTTCCCCCTTTTTAAGGGTTTCCACATAAAACTCTGGTGTCTCTTATTAACACTACACCCTCTATCTAATATGCTTGTGTGTTGGATCTTCGTACAATGCTAAGACGTTAAACCGTATATTTCTCTACCGCCGCGAATACTCCAGGACGTAACACTTCCAGTGATTTAAACAAAGGTTAGAACATTAAAAAGATGATTAAAGCTTAGGCGAAACCACATGTAAGAGTTTAGAATCTTGAATAATCAATTTCAATCAAGATTAGCATAACATAGGGGAGTTTCAATAGAAATCTCTAAATTAACAATACGATTAGGCACTATTAGAAACTACTCCCCTCACACTCTTAATGTAGGCTAAATGGAGATGAATTGCACAACCCTTTATGATGCAAAAAATTAGGATAAAACTTAGAAAGGAAAAAGATTTGGAGGAGAAATTCACCTTGATCAAGATTTGGAAACAATCTGCCACTGAACGGAAAAGAGTTATTCGTCGTTAGTGTCGGCGAGGGTGAATACAAATCTCTCAACGTATTCTTCTACAGTTTGATCAATCTCCAAGTTGAGGTCGAAGAACGATGATTTGAGGATATCAACTTGACCTTGATCATTGTAAACAAACTTGTGATCACGTTCTGGATCAGCCATACAGTAAGGAGTCGTTAATTGCAAGGATCTAGAACTTCTAAACAACAGTTGGTGAGCTTCTGGATGGTAGGAAAACAAGGGGAAGATGCAGAAATTTCAGGACAGTACTTGATCTGCTACTGGACATCAAGTAGGAATTGTTTTGGACAATAATCTTGCTAATCTTGGAAGTTCTGGACAGAAAGTATGATCCGGGAAAATTCTGGACAGCAGTGGGAGCTCTTGGAGAGATGACAATAGCGGAAGATAGAAGGGGTTCAGGAGGAGTAATGGAGTTTGAGGGAAGAGGGAGAGGGGCCGACCAAATGGAGGAGGAATAGGGCTTCAGTTTTCTGATTTGGGCGATTATTTAAGAAAGGAAAGTCGCCCCAAAATCTGAACTTTAAATTCAGATTTAATGGAAGAAGTGATTGGGGAGATTTGAAATTCAATTTCCCAATCAAAGAGGGAAAGGAGGGAGGGGCTGGCGGCTATGTGAAGAGGGAGGGGTTAGGGGCTTTATTTGCATGCCAATTCAAGCAACCCAAGTTAGGAAAAAGGGTTTAAATCAGATCCTCCTATCAAATTCAGATTTATTTGATTGTAAATCTGAATTAAAACTTTCCTAACATATATTAACTTATTTTAAGAAAGTAATCTCAATTCATATTGATTTCAAATTCAAATTTTGAAAACATTTCCTAATTTAAGATGTTACCAATAAGGAAAGTCATAATTGCTTCATTTGAAACTTGGAGAAAAAGGGAAGGAATAGTGGCCGGCGGCTAGGGCTTGGACTAGGGTTAGGATTAGGGTTTGATGTGTGGACCGGGGCTAGGCCTTTGTGGCCAGCGGCTTGGTGGTGAAAGAGGGGTGGTCGGCCAGATTTGTGGGGGGTGGTGGGGTTCGGACGAGAGAGAGGAAGAAAAAGAGGGATGGCCAACGGTTTAAAGATGAAAGAGGGGAGGGATTGACGGAAAGAGGAGGATCATGAACCCGGATGCTTCCTGTGGTTAGTGGAACTACACAAAATGCAACATATAATAGACATTAAGAAGACAACATAAATGATGACAAGGAGGAATGTAAGCAATAAATACACCTGCATGTTCTCCGATCGTCACATATGATTCCTGAATCCAACGGTCCGAGAAAATTATGCGGGTCAAATATTCAAGTTTCATCCTCCTCGGAGTAACTAACTTGAACTATAAGATGCCTCCTAAATTACTACAGAATACAAATATTTTTCAAATAACGATCATTTTATCGGAGGGGACAACAAAATTTTAAAACAAATCCCAAATTTCTACGAAAATACAAGTGACTTTAACGTCACCCTGATGATGGTCGTGCTGACAAGAAATCTCAACCGGAGGGGTCAAATCTTAAAACTAAGAAAAATATGAATTTTTAAAATAAAATCTATCACCTAAAAACTTAAAACTAAAACTCATCCACCTAATGCAACTGTTTGTCGAGGATGATAAATTTGAAATTAACCTCAGCTCATAAATAACGAATATCATGTTGGGTGTATCACTAAGATTCATCCTCAAATTATCTCTTGCTAGCAGGGATGTGGTACATGCTATCTGATCGAGTGATTTTGCCACAAAATGAAATCATTATATTACTATCACGATCACAGACCGTATGTTCCCTAATGGCATTAAACCCTTGAGTAATGAATTATAGGGTATATTCGATAGGCACAAAGCCCTTTTTGTTAGTTAAGGTGGATTCAAATGTATCTCCTTAAACAAACACCACCCTAGGTTTACAAGATATCCTTAGACGAAGCAACCCATGGCTGTCGACAATGTGTCTTTCGTCAGGTTGAGTTGGCTACATCCTCTGGCTAAGTAGACTAGGGAGCATGACAGCTCGGGATGACGGAACCATGGGATCTTGATCAGGCTTGTCTTCATTCCCCTATCACCTATTTTAAGTTTATGGTGATAAGTTCCAAATCATAAACCCAAATTTAAATCCTAATGGTGCTGCTATTATATGTTGGGTACTCAGTACCTATCCCACAACTAGCCTTAATCAAAAGTTTTCTCTCGTTATAGAGAGGGGTAATTAACTATAGGGGCTTGCGCCTATGGTAAACTAAAACTCAGATCATAAAGTCCTCACAAAATGAGGGCAAAATATCTGGGTAATGTCTTATTTAAAACTCAATCTGCCTTCCGAAAATTCACCTGGAACTTAAGTTCATTAAAACTCTCTGCCATCACATAAAAAAAAAAGAGGCGATGTGGAGAGGCCGAGGCGTGGAATTTTTGGAGCCCACAGTTCTATTAGTTAATTATTTTCTAACAACCATTAAGACATGATGACTCAAGTGAAGAACCAAAAACTCCAGTATATATAGGCAGTTATGCATATTCATCTAGTAGATTTTCAATTAAAACTAATTGGATAAAATTACCAATGTTCTCAAAAATGATGAACACAACTCAAATTTATTAAATTTTATCTAGATATATCTAAGGCATAGTTTAGAACTTGCAAAATGATTTCATTTTATTTTGAGTTGATTTTCCATTTACTTTATAATTCCTACATGACAAAATTGATTTGAATATTATTTTATTTCGTGATCATGTGCTTAATTGACTCATCATTTTGATGTTAATCATTTTTATCCAGAAAATTTTAATCAAGAACATCAGCTTTAGAGTCATTATCAACCATACATTTTTATGATCTCTTTTCATGCCACAGTGATATAATCTTCTTTACAAGTATAATTCTTGATTTTGAGATTGGGCAGTTGCATTGGCATACTTGATTCTGACTCTGGTCATCTGTTAGAAATTTACAATTAAATTATGCACTCTAAGGTATCTTCTCAAAAGAATGTGAGACCTATGTTACACCGATATGGATACGGCGACACGGATACGACACGATATGGACACGGGATACGTCAATTCTTAAAAATATAGGATACGGATACGGCGTGGACACGACATTATAATTTATAAATCATACATAAAAATTAAGAAAGCAATCAAAGCATAATATTTGAAATTACAAAAAAAAAGCAACATCATTTGTAGCCTTGTAGCTTATAATATCAAAATCCGTCTCACAAATGAGAGAATCTCGCTCGCAGCTGCGGAAGTAAATATAACGCCGTTTTTCAGATTTTTTTTTTTGTTTTTCAACAGACACGCATGCCCTTTTATAATTAAATAGTATTTTAATTGGATAAGGGTTTGCCGTATCCGACACGTATCGGTGCCATATCGGAAGTGTATCCGTGTATCGGTGTATCGGATGCAACACACCTTCATAAATAGGTGTATCGGTGCAACATAGTGTGAGACAGTTTTTTGAATATTTGATCAGATTAGCAGGGTAGCTATTAACCTTATAATTTTAGGGTAATGAAGAGGATAAAATTGACAGTTACTTAGAGATTGAAAACATAAAGATTACACCTGTGCCCGATTAAAACTTGGGCAGGCATTTTTGTCCAACCAAAAAACTTAATAAATATAACTGAAACTTTAATATATACTACATAGAAAGATTGGTATGCATATACTTACTTGGAGATAATCCAACACTGCCATATAGAAGTTTAGTGAGCAAGTTGCAATGAATCTCAATTTATATCTATTATGCCATATTCACTGCAAATTCCCTTTAAAGGAAGACCTTCCTCTCAGCTGATAATGTAGTTAAAAATACTGAATGCATTCACGAGCACCTTACAAAGTCTGGTTATAGGTTTCCCGGTTAAGTTTTTTGCATGTTAATACTATTGTAATTTCCTGGGCGGCCCACTTAAATCTTGAATTTTTTATTACTTCTCAAGATATAATGTGCTAATATTTTTGGGCAGAACTTTTTTCCTTTTTAAAAGTCAACAGCATTAAGTGCTTCAGAATCCTCAGCTTGTTATGCTCAGCAATTTTCAAAAGTCTAGCTCCAATTCATCCTCAAGGCCATCACCCTCATCAAATAGTTTAAGGAATCTTGCCTGGTTCTGTTCTCTCTTCCACTTCTGCCAGTATTTATACATCCCATAAGTTGCAACAGAAGTCACAAAAGAAGTCAAGACACCAAGAAGTATAGCCAAAGCTAGGTTTAAGTTCTTATCTACTGAACTACTCTTTTGGTTAGGGTTAGCATAACCTGCAAACATCAGAAAGTTGTCAACTAAGACGTTTAATGTAATGCTAATTTGATTTAGAAAGTAACTGAAATTGTTTAATGATCCTAAGAAACAAAATGTTGTCAAGATAGTTTGAACCAAGATATATGTATACAGCAAATACAAATTAGAAACATAACATGCAAAAAGCTAAAGGTATTAATAATTAAGAGTTCAGAACTTCAGACATAACATATAAGGAATCAATAACTCACCAACAGTAGCTGCACAATTTGTGCATGTAAATGAGGCATTAAATTCCTTCTCCTTATAATGAACATAGTTTCCAGCAAGAAATTCATCAGGACAAAGATCCCACTCATCAAACACATCATCAGACTTCTCCCTATTCAGTTCATAAAATCCACATCGTTTGCATTTTTTATCTGGAAGTTCTGCTAAAGGCTGAAAAAATGCTAACCATCAGTTCTTTTGAGAAATTTCCATGTAAAGCAATGAAAATTATGCTAACAATCGACTATTTGAAGATACTTTTTCATGTAGGTTAAAATTCTACCTCAATAAAATGGTTGAGAGTGCAGTAATATTGTTAACAAATGGTTACAAAACCTCTGACATGGTGTTTTAAAAGAAAATACTACTAACTTCTCTTCATGTTAACAGGCCAACAAATATAACAACAAAGCTTGCAAGTATTAAATTTTAAATATTTGATGTGAAAGCTGTATGAATCAATGCTTATAGCTCCAAACAAAATGAAATTTGAACGAGCCTGCCATGATTCTACACCCTTGAACTTGTAAAGAAAGTGCTTTTCTATCACATCTAGCAAAATGATCTTGTTCTCTGCTTGACACTGGAAATAAATGGTTGGTTTTGAAGACAGCAATTCATGAATGTTGAAGAATACAACTGAGCTAAGAATAACAGTCATGGATGAAAACGTTCCTGCAGAAAAGAAGATTATCGATTGTTAACTGGACCGAAAGAAAAGTCAATCCAATCAATGCTATCATGCTAATTATTTCATAGTCAAGTATTAAGATAGTTCCTTGAAGAATGACCTGAAATTACTTTAAAATTTCAGAAATGCTGATGAGGAAAATGTTCTTGAATATAGCAGATCAAAATAAATTTGACAAGAGTCTCCTCTTGAATATGTTAAGACCTTGACTATCTGAAATATCATACTAGAGCTATTAAAAATTTATCAAATTATATAGCAAATTGCACCTAGTTTTACAGCATGAAATAACCACATAGTGTGAAGATTTAGATTGAAATAATTCAGTGCAAATCAAAATAATATATTAAATAAGAGATTTTGAAGGACAACAGGCTTCATTGGCCGGATAGCATTGCTTGTTCTCAACTTAAAGTGGCGTGTCTTCCTACCAAGTGGCCAGCCACACCATAAAGCATGGTTAAAAAATAGTCAGATTTATAAAATGCTAGCTAAGGTCAGACTTGTTCTCTAATTACATGCGTTGGTCACTGAACTCAAAAACATACTCCTCAGAAACTAAGCCATAACGTACAGATCACATCCATTTGGATTTGCAAATTCTCTATAGGGCTCCAATAAGTAAAATGCCTTCTCTGGTTTTAGGAAGTTCTCCACAATAAATACGCATCTCTCTCTTAAAGAGCACAAATGCACATATAAGAAGTTCACAAATCTGACAAGTAACCTATGAATTTTTCTTCTTTATACGATGTGTTTCTCATTCCTTGTACCTGCCAACTGAAAACTGTAGCAATAGCAATCCAAACAACTCAACATTCCAGACCAAAACGAACTGAAAATTTTAGCAGGAAATGTAACTCAATCCAAATTGTTACTGAGGCAAATTACAAAAATAGCAAAGAAAGTTAAATAATAAAAAAAAAAAAATAATTGAAGCAAAGCATTCTCCAAGGCATCCTTGCCCAGAAAGAGAACATAAGTAGACCTTACAGGTGTATTCCTGAAATTTGTATCATAGATGTCATTACCATTTTTATCTCATAGTGAACTTTGCCGTCTGAAGTAGATACTAAGGGTATCTCCAACCGAAAATCTCATTTTTCACTCCTAAATGCAGTGAAACTAAAAAATGTCGTGATTCATCTCCAATCGAATTCTATTTAGCGGCCTTCTACGAAGGTAACCGTATTTCTTATCTTTCATGCATTTCTTCGGCCCGGTAGAAACAGAAAAATAGAGTAAGTGAACAGTGGGACGCCAATATTGGCGTCGCACTGTTCACCAGCAACCAAATAGCAGAAGTTTTATCGTTCGGCTGGAGCTCGCGAACGACGCCATTCATGCGTTTGGAGTTTGGTTGGAGAATGCCTAAGTCAATGGCATCCTGCGTTTCCTAGAAGATTGTTTAAGCACAACCACTGCAGTTTTTCCTCATAACTAGAACCACCTGATTTGCAAGAAGGCAGCTTCTTAACAGATTCAACACCGTTTATGACGCAATTACAATTATAAGCTAATGACATCTTTAGCATTAGAATATGCTAACGGTTAACAAAAACTAAGATCATAATGCATGATAATTCTAAATAGAATCCAACAATACCAACAAGGTTACAAGCTAATATATTAAGCATCATAATGTGTCATATGCAGCCTTTTAAGTAATACCTACACTAATTTCAATGCCTTCACCAATATCTCTTCCACTAAGAAAATTATCTTTCTAATAAAATTTCTTCCCTGCCATTTCAAGAACTGCGTCTCATTAGTATGAAGCCCTAAACTTCACAGTTTGACCTCTAATCCCCCAATTTAGCTTATAAAATCTCAAAATTCAGTAAAAGCACCCAAGAAACATGCTTTAATGCAAAAGGCAGAATATTAAATCTAGGTCTAGAGGATCTAAGTCAAGGATCTGCAATCAACCTAAATTATCTATCCTCCATAAAGGTTTTTTTACTCGTAACATCATCGAAAGAAAATCATGACACTGAATAAAAAATTACCAGAAATTGAGGGAAGCAGAAGGCAAGAAACGAGCAGCAGGCACGGCGAGATCCCCCTCATAGTATAAAGATCGTTAACAATGAGAGAAGGTAGAATCGCAGGGCGGAAAAAGAAAGGGGAAGAGCTCAACAGAGCCCCAAAGAAATAAGCGCGGACGATTTGAAGGGCATTATATTCTTCCTCCGGAATCGATCATCGCCGGAGCAAGCGGGTAAAATTTTGTTCCCAACAAACAGAAGAGTCGACCTTCAATCCATATCCATGAACGTGCTTTTACATACTACGTATATGTTCTTGGAAATATCGTCGAGTAATTTGGGCGTCAGTGTACAGAGTGTCTGTGTAGATTGTGTACGATTACATGCGGACGATTCTTTATCTCTCGACACATCACGGAATAATTTCTTCAATTAAAGAGAGAGAATATGAATCCGAGTCAATATGTATGAGCACCAAATCCAATATCACCCATAAGAGTTAAGTTTGATCTCATTGATCACTTTGGTTTCGTCTGAAACGGTTTTCTTATTGTTTCTTAAAGTAGTTTTTTAGTGCAAAATTTTTTATTTTTGCATTAAAAAGCCGCTTTAAGAAACAGTAAAAAAGTCGTCCCAAACTAAATGTTAGTGTTAGAAGTAATGTAATAAAATCAAAAGAATCAACTCATCATCAAGACTAAATCATGACAAAATATGATAAACTCGCTAATAAGATCAAGCGACGACAACTCGAGATCATTTGAAGTAATCAAAGCTAATCACCCATCTCAAAGTTGTTAATTGCAAGTCTTAGAGGCTTTAAAGCCTGTTGCTTGGGAGCTTTTATTGAGTTTTGAGATTTTATAAGCTAAATTGAGTAAAAGCTATTGATTAACTCAAGGTGAAGTAATCCAACTTCATCTCAATTCATCCTATAATTTATCATGAGTTTATTATATGATTTGTAACTATATACTAGATGGGATTACATATTTTATAGTATGTGTTGGACATTAATTTTATAAGGAATAACATAAAAAAAAATACACTCATAAAATTTAACCAAATAAAAGATAAAATGGTGTGATTTTAATCTCTAATAAATTTCTAATCTCGCTTTTATGTATTATGGAGGGAATCTTGTTATGATTTTTATTCACATTTGGAGGAAATTAGATGTCAATGACTAGTATGGATAGGGAAGTAGTCATGAAGTTTTGTATGAGCTAGTTTTCATTATAAATGGTTCGACCTCTTGTACGAATACCTAAATATTTGTGTTGTTGTTGATGACGATGATAATGCTTCCTCCAACTTAATTACATGCTATTATTCATGCATTTATGTTGCATCATTTAGCCACCTCTAAAATTGTAGAACATTTTGAAAGACATTCTCTTGAATTAGGTGATTTGGATTGCCTCAATCAATGAAAAAAAAGTGTTGCAATTGTTTTCACTAGTGTAAGATAATATAAGTTATTTAGTTATTATCACTAAGGAAAGATTCACCATCAGAAGCCTTAGATGAGGAAAATGAAGAGTTGTGTAACATAGTCATTGGCCATTATAAAATTTGTCAAAAAATGTTAAGTTAGTTGAAGCCAACATTGGGAGATGGCCAATGATGAGTGTTAGTGATACAAGATGGTTAAGGTTGATAGTAGGTAGAGTACTAAAATTTCCTATGAGACTTCTATGAAACATTTTAAATAAAAGAAGTTAAACTCTTAAACAACGAGGCGTCTTTTGCTTAATTGTTAAAACTTCATTAAGAAATTTCGTAGTTAAACATGTTCATCCCAAAGAAATCATAGGATGGCGACCTTCTGAAAAGTTACACCAATAGAACAAAAACTTGAGGCCATTTGGTTAAAGCAGACAATGTCTTGATAGTTAAAAGTTTGGGCTATTTTAAATGGTATAAGAGCAATACACTAGCTAGAGCATGGGAATTAAGTACCATAAAAGATAAAATGTTGCATCATAGGAGCCACCTCTTGATCCTTATATGAGATAAAGTGCTATGTGGCATGAGTCACCACTTGAACTTATAAGGGCCACCTCTAAAATCATATCTGCCTAGTAGATGATTTTGGGATAAAGATGCTAACAAGGATGATAATTAATTAAGTGGGGGAGATTGTGAAACCCCTTAAGTAAAATAAGCTAAACTCTTAAACATCAAGGTGTCTTTTGGTTTAATGATTGAAATTTCATTAAGAAAATTTGCTGTAAAGTGTGCTCATCTTAGAGAAATCCTGGGATATGTAGCCTCCTAGGAAGTTACATCAACAAGATAAAACTATGAAGCCCTTTAGTCAAATTAGACAATATCTTGATAGTTAAGAGTTTGAGCTGTTACGATTTCTCTATGATCCCTATTTGACACCTATTGTTAGCACACATCAAACAATAACTCATAAGTGGCATTGCGAGTAGAGAAATAAAAAGTGTTTGGTTGGTCAATAACCAACATCAAGAAATAACTGACAACAAGCATATATGTTGAATGATAACCACTGGGTGATGGTAAGTAGAGAACTAAAAATTTCTATACATCAATCTCATATTTATCTTTGGATGTTAATGATTGATTAATTATTATTGGCGGATGGACATCAGATAATAGTTGGTATTCCTTTTATGATTTTTGAGAATGTTAGAGGTCAAATGACAATGAATAATCAACTAAATAGTTCCCATGTTAAGAGATGACATTAGTGATTGAGGAGTGTCATATATTAGTGGTTGACAAGAAATTATCATTAATCATTGGCAGTTTATTGATGAGAATTGTTAAAATTCTAACAATTTTGGGTGGGGGACATTGTCATTAATAGTAGGGGAGAGAAGGCGACCACGAAGACAGGTGTTTGGTGATAATAGTTGATAAATATCAGACATGGATACACAACACATATAAAATGGCCACTAATAGGGAACATCAAGAGTCATACAGAGATGAGTGTTGGTTGGTTGACAAACTAACTTCTTGTGATGGTGAAAATATGCATCGATGTTAGAAGATGGATAAAGAGTGATGATGAGTAATGTACCCCCAACCCACCAACCAAAATGTGTAAAATTTATTATTATTCAAAAAGGGATTTTTGATTATCTCTACCATAATCGTAGACATGCGATTACAAAATCCATATATGTTTCTCTTGATCATTATATGTTTTTCACTACAGGAAAAACAGTGAAAACCGGCGGTTTGAACCGGCGGTTTAGAGGCCGTCGGTATTACCGACTTCGTCGTATTGATATACTCTTTTTTTTGTTATACAACATCAACAATAACAACATTAAGCTTTTATTTCACTATGTGGGGTCGACTACATGAATTCTTTTTCTCCATTTCATCCTCTTAAGAGTCAAATCCTCATTTAAATCAAATAAAGATAGGTTATTTATAATATTTTTTAACTAAGTCTTTTTAGGTCTACCTTTACCTTTCTTAATATCAGCCAAATCTAATACATCTACTTTCCTAATCGAGTCATTAGAAGGCCACAATTTTATGTGACCAAACCATGTAAGGTTACTCTCTCTAATATTATCTTCCACTGAAGCTACTCCAAGCTTTTCATGTATATCCTCATTTCGTATCATGTCTCTAAGAGTAAAGCCACTCATCCGCCAGAGCATTCTTATCTCTACAACACTTAACTTAATATTATACTTCTCCTTTAATGTCCATTATTCTGCACCATAAGCATTATAGGTCTCACACTTTCCCTTTAAGTTTGAGGGATACTTTTCTATCACACAACAAGCCTGATGCATTCCTCCACTTTAACCATCCAACTTGAATTATACTAATAATATCCCATCTATTTCACCATCACTCTGAGCAATAGACCAAAGATACCTAAAACATACACTCTCATTAATGACTTGATTACTCAAAGTCACAATGCCCCACTAGATCTATTATTATTAAAATTACACTCCATATATTTAGTTTTAGATCCACTCAAATGAAAACCTTTAGACTCTAAGGTTGACATCCATGATTCAAATATATTTACCTTCAATTCCCTCTCTAGTCTTATCAACAATAAGAGTATCATTAGCAAAAAAACATACACCAGGGTACAACCTCTTTTAAATGTCTAGTGAGAACATCCATGAATAAAGAAAAAAGATATGGGCTTAAGGATGATCCTTGATGTAATCCAACTAAAATAGGAAAATACTTTGTCAAACCACCTTGTGTTTGAACACAAGTAACAACTCCTACAAACATATTCTTAATGACTCGAATGTAAGCATTATTAACCCCTTTCTTTTGTAGAAATCTCCATACCACTTCTCTTGGAACTTTATCATATGCTTTCTCTAAATAAATAAATATCATATGTAGATCCTCCTTATTCTCTATACTTCTCCATCAAACTTCTCAATACATGCATAGCTTCCATAGTAGACCTACCTGTCATCAATCTAAATTGATTTTGAGAAGCATTAGTGTCATGCTGCAACCTATGCTCTCCAACTCTCTCCCATATTTTCAAAGTATGACACATTAACTTAATTCTTCTATAATTTGCACAATCATGTGCAGCACCTTTATTCTTTAAAATATGAATCAACACATTCTCCACTCATTTGACATCTTTTTAGTCTTAAGCATTTCCACATCTCTATATATTCATTATTCTTAATATCTAATATATTATATAAATCATTAAAGTTAAGATCTTTGAATTGCTTATTGCTTTCTTAGACTTCTTATGGGTTTCTTTATATATTTTCCAATCATCATAATTTTTATAACTAAATTAATTTTTATAATAATTTTCTTAATTTTTATCTTTTCTTAACACTATCATTGTCAAGTCCCAAGTCATGTATGAGAAAAGTGAAGGGTTGTGTTAGGTAGTCGAAGATAGTATAAAACATTAAAACTTATCGAATGATCATTACATTAATCTTTTAATACAATGTGTTTATACTCTTTTTTTACTTTAAACATATCAAAATTTAGAGGGCGTTTGACCTAAATAAAATTCAAATTATGCTTATATGCTCTTTATTCACACCGATTTTAGCTTAAGTCTATTCATTCTTGAAATCATTGAGTTTGTCTTATCAAAGCATATTATCATGAACACAAGTTTGATCGAAATGGAGTTTGGATGATTTAAGAACCAATTTTGTAAATTTTTGCCCAAATTGCTTATCGTATCTTGAGATCTAAAATTGTGTAAAATTTTATGTGAAGTAAATTTTATGGCAGTGTATCAATTACACCTATTTTTGAACATCAAAACTTACAAGTTTGAAATTTCTTTGGCTTAAAAAAGTTTTTGAAGGTGAAATTACAATTTCAAAAAAAATTATGGCATGCTCACTTTTTAGGCATTAATATAGCGTTGCCCTCAAGGCCATGGATGAAGTTGGCATTAGCATGGAACATAATAATTCATGAAATGCTAGATGATTGACTTGATTATTCTCATCATAAAAAAAATTTATCAGTCAATAAAAAAAAATGTTATATTTCAACTACTAATAGATGTTAAACGTCGGTCATTAGTAAGAGTTAGGTGAAGCTTGATGGTGAATGTCAGAGTTGAAAGATAGTCTCCGATTGACCTCATTGTTCTCCTAATATGAGGGGAAACTAGAAAGCTGGAAGACAACCATCATACATTGGTGGTTGACAATCATTATTGATCTTGGATATGAGCGATCTTGAATTCATTAGATTTATTTCATTGAGACACTCATTTTAACAAATGATCTTGAGAAATTTCGTAATGTGCTTTCCAATGACTGATTCATACTCATTTAGGCTCAGATCAAATATTCATCCTTCATTACATTGGATTCATCTCTTCGAACCATTCAATCTTAATTACAACTTCACTAGAAATAAAGTGCGAAAGATCTAAAAATCAATACCTAAATTTTTTTACCTAAATATTTGTGTTCTTTGAGATATAAAAATTATATTAAAAGTCATGAATACTCTCATCACATATCAAAACTCACAAAAAGTCACATATAAACTTTTCAAATGGATGAACTAATAACAATGGTGCCTATCAAATTATTTTGAAAAGAAGTAATTGTAGGTGAAAGCTTTATAGAAGCACAATCTGGCTTTAGTGGACTCCCTTTAAAATGGATAAAAATTCATACCAAAATTTGCATTCCAATAGGAGAAATGTTGCAAATCTGTATTTGTAAATGGACCTATCTTCATCTCTTTTGCTATCATTGTTGCATGGAAATAAGCAATATAGTGGAAAATGATTGCGACTCTTCAGCTAAATTTGCACTTGGTCAGCATAGAGGAATAATCAAGTTGAAGCCATCAAATTATGAAGAAAATTTTCTTCTAGAACATTTATGTTTGATTCATTTATTGAATTAATTTTTTTTTAATTCTCATCTAAAATGTTAAAATTCATAATAAAAACTATTTAAATTTCATTAATTTCTAATAATTCGATCATAGGCTACGAATTCAATAGGTTGACAAGTGGTTGATTATGGCTACAAGCAAATGGAGCTTGAGAGTTTGAGCCATGAGTTCAAGCTCGAGCCTATTCTTGAGCTTGTATATTAAATGTACTCGAGCTGGAGCTCAGCCTAACTTGATTTGTATGCTTGTTAAGTTACTCGATTAACCTAAAAATATTTTTAAAAATTAATTTAAATTAGTATTATATAATATATTTAATCTTTTTAAAATTAATTCTATATTAAAAATATAATTCTAAAAAAAATTTAATTTAGAAATAAATAATTGAACTCAACAATCTTGTTAAGCTAATGATTTTCAAACAAATGGAGCCTATAAGTTTTTTAATGAACCAAACTTTAGCTTAATAAATGGACTCTAGCTTGAGCTTAGATGAATTAAATAAGCTTTGCGAGATTAGACAAATACTCGACTGCTTTACACCGTTAGATAGGAGAATTTATTCTATAAAGAGACCGGGCGTAGAAAGTCATCCGGAGACCAACTAAAATGTGCCACTTTAGCAGTACGGAGCAGTACCGAATCGCGGTACCGAGCGAAGAATGACATAACACATTCTGGTTGATCTACGAACAGTGTTCGGCATAGAGTAATTAATATATGACACTATATAGCTAGATAAAAAGAGAGAGAGAGAGAGAGAGAGAGAGAGAGAGAGAGAGAGAGAGAGAGATTTCTCTCTTACCTGTAGTTGTAACACCTCTGCCGATCTCCTCTCCAACAAAGCTCCCAACCTGAGCTCTTCATCCTCGATCTCCTCTTCTCTTCTTGAAGCCGACGCCTACAAGCCCTCACCCGTCCAAACCATAGGTTAAACCGACTTCTTCCTCCCTGCTCTCGATTTGGAACTTCCGATCTCTACCCAGCTCCCTATCTGAAACGACTGTGAAGTTTAGGCAGACGGCGTGGTAAAAATGAGGTTAATAAAGGATTTGGGTGGTATAAGAGTAATATTAAACTTTGAGGTGTTAGATATGTAAATGGTTAGAAATATAGTGGTATGCATGTAAATTTTCCTAAAATAAAATAAAAACTTCTTTGGTTATGATTTGACCTAGGGTCCACTAAAGTCAACGTTCTCCCGTCGTAATTAATTCTCCTTGCCATCTTCATAGGGCCCACCACTCCCAAGGCCGATATATAATCCTCTCCCCTCACCTCTCCCTTTCTCCCTCAGTACCTCCTCTGTGTGCGTCCCCTGCTTCATCAACCCACTTCCCATTCTCCTCGCTGCCGGCCAAAACAGCCGCCATAGAAATGTTTAGCTCCTCCTACTATAGCCCTTCTTCTACTTCACTCTCTTTCATCGGCTTCCCTGGCGGACTTATTTGCTCCGGCGAACTCCAAGCAAGCACATCTTTTATTCACTCTGTCTTCTTCTTCTTTAAAAAATTGTATTTTTCCGTTATTATGACTCTGAACTGGGATAAAAATCTCATCTTTCAGCATACGAAAGCTTCCATATCTGACGGCGGCGCCGGCGCCACCAGCTCCGGCGTTAAGGTCGAGCGCTACAGCTCCAAGGACCGGAGGGAGAGGATTGAGAGGTACCGGAGTAAGAGAAACCAGAGGAACTTTCACAAGAAGATAACTGTAAGTGAGATTCTCTCTCTCTCACCGGTTTTCTATAGAGAAGCCAAAACAACAAGGAACTCGCTTTTATTTTCTCTCTTCTTAAAAAAAAATTATCACATTATTTCAAATTTTAAAAAATTAATAGAGTTGATAATCATTGATTAGGCATATCAGCATGAATTTTACTGATTTGCTCCCTTAATTTTCTTTTTATTATTAAAAAATTTGAATGTTAAGAAACTTGGGGTGAAGTATGCTTGCAGGAAAACGTTAGCTGATAGTCGGCCGAGGGTGAGAGGGAGATTTGCGAGGAACGACGAAGCAGAGCAGGAAACAGACTCGCCGGAGAGCGGCGCAGCTGGAAGTGATTGGTGGAGAAAAATGAAGGCGGCGCTGACGGCCGCCGGCGAGGAATGCTATTATGATGAAGAAATCTGGGCGAGCTTGGATAGCGCCCACGATATGAACCTCAGCAGCTCTGCTATCGTACAAGCCAAAAAATGAAGTAAACTTGTCTGCTTGGTGTTGAATATATTGATTTGAATAAAAATAATATTTATTAAAATTTTTTGAGATGTATTAAATTTTATTCTTATTTATCTTATTTCAAAATTTTTTTTATTATTATTTTTTCAATAAATTAATATTTTAACCATCATCAAATTAATTTAATATTGCTTATCAGATATTATGTTCTGAAATATAATAATTAAAAAAATTGACTCATAATATTACTTAAACCTATGACTTTTAAAATGAGAGTTGAGTATAAATTTCATAGGGATAGAATTAGAGGTATTCACCTAATCGAGATAAACTGGTCTAATTTTTACTAAACTCGATCTCGAGCTCATTTACCGAACTTGAACTCAACTCGCACGAAAATTGTTAGGTATGAGATCAGCTCGCTTACTCGAGCTCATGTGGAAAGCTCTAGTTTGACTCTGAAAATAATAAAAAATATTTTATTAGATTATTAAGAAATTTTTTTTAAAATATTTTTTAATATAAACAAGTGACTAGACAAACTTACGAGTCGAGGCTGGCTCAGCTCGAGCTCAAGTTTATATAATATACGGACTCGAAAATAGACTCAAGCTCGAACTTGTGGCTGGATAAGCTTAGCTTGTGAGCTTATTAAAGAGCTGAGTTCTAACCAGCTCGCGAGATGGCACAACTCACTTACATCACTAAGTAGAATTATGAATAATATTTGTTATTATTAAAAACAAGAATATAAGTACGATCGAGACTTTCTAACCCCAAGGATTGAAATTCATTTAAGCTAGAGCAATTGAATGAGGTAATTTAAGGCTAAATAGTAAAATGTAAATTGTAATAACTTCAAAGGATAGGCATCATTTTAAGTGTAAAGTCATAAAGTACTAAAATGATGCAAGAGATAAGATGTACAATCGATTCTAATATATATGGGATATCACAATGGCGTGATGCTTAGCATCACTTTTATGTAGCAATTTGTAGAAAGAAGAATATATCATGTGAGAAGATGGGAGATCATCCATCAACTTTATTATGTATCACATTTATTTGATGTTGAAGCTATTGTGATTGAAAGATGTTACTTGTGAGGAAGTGGGCTCTCTAGAGGTTTTCATGCACCTTTCGTTATCCTCTTAGACTTCGAGGCGGTCATTTACACCATGTATCTCTCTCTGCTTTTGTTATGTTATAGGAGAAAGTTTCTCTTCATCTCTAGCACTTATAGAAGAGTTAGATGCCATATATTTTTCATGCCCTTTGCTTTAAACTTCATTACATCCTATTTTGAAATTAAGTGTAATGTTTACCGATCATTATCCTCTACTAATGATAATTGTACTCAGAGATCAACATACTTACCTCCATCTCCCTACATCATCTGCATCCTCTTTTGTGGTACTCCCCAAAACTGTAGTACATCAAATAAGAGAATGCACATACATGTTGCTTTGGGAGTTATGCAAAGGGACTCTGTAAATAAAAATGATATTCTATGTGGTCAAAATGCCACTTCCAAAAAGTCCACTTTATCTTCTATCAACAACATTGGGTATGGTACGTATCTCATTTCCCGTAGGAAGATTTGTTGGTTGGAGAAAAGAAAGAAAAGTTTCTCTTATTGATTATGCCATCAGTAAGAGGCCTTCTACCAATATCTTCTTATATAATAAAACATATGAAAATTCTAAAGTAATCTTATTGAGATTTTAACTTTTAATAAAAAATTTGTTTCTCTCTGCTTTTTTTTTTTTCTTGTAGAATTATGACCTGGCTTGTATATTTAAAAAAATGGGCTTAGAATTCCAACCTATCAATTAAAAAAATTCATATCATGATAAAATTCTCTAAGTTTCACCTTTGTTGTTGGAACAAAGATGAGCTTAATCGAGTAACAAGTATGAGTGGAGTTTCTTTAGTCATTGTTAATCTCGCACTCATAGTCTTACCTTGTTTTCAAAAGAGTTATTGTGCAAGTAAATCTTTCTTTCATCCTGCCTAAAATCACTTCTATTAAAGTCAACTTGAATATATATAATGAAGAGGTACAATTGATTGGAAACCTAATGCTTGTAAGTCATCTAACTCATGCCCACATAAATAACATTTATGACCATATTTCCAACTATTTTCATCTTAAGGCAACGACCAAAAGCTAAATCAGAGCTCCATCTCATAGGACAATTAGGGCTCATTTTAAGGGAATAATAAAATTCAACTCAAACTATTATCGTGAATTAATATTTGATCATTCCTCCATATCTCAATCATCCATTCTTGTACCACCCTTATAGATGCTATCAAAATCAACAAAATAAAAGAAATCTCACAAATTTGATTTATACAACACATTTCGCATAACTCATTATTAATCTAACTCAAACAAACTAATTTTCCCGACCACCCATGTAATCAAGCATCACCATTTCACAACCTTTCATGCCTACATGTATCCTTGCACCGTCTTCTTCTAGATACATGATTATAAAAGGTAGGAAACACCCAACGAAACTTCTTTTATTAATGCAAATAAAGCTAGTTGGTAAAATAATAACACATTTTCTTCCTTATCTCTATCTCTATCATTACACATAATAGCATAAGGCCTTTTGGCTTCATGGATCTAATAACAGTATCATGTTGACATTATCTATCAGTTAGAAATTAAAATTACTTATAATTCTCTTATAAACATTTCTTTCAACAGGAAACTACAATCGTATAAGAATAGAACGTCTATTATAGTTTCACTTTGACTTTTGAGGATATAAGCTCCATTAAATGATATCATACAAGGATTACACTCACTCAACTTCTCACTCAATTAATTTATTGCGAAGTCATTTTCTATAGTTTTGTCAACTTCTTCATTACTTTTATGTATTTATAATGATGACTTTGATAGAACATACCTTTGGGATTCTCTTATCAACATTTCTCTTTATTATTTTGACTTGTTTTATCTGTGTTGTTGAGGGCAATATAACCCTTTCCATTAGATGGAAGGAGTTCAATGCATATGCCTTTCTTATATACCTCATTGAACTCCATAATGTGGAGCCTTCTTACATTTGGTCTAATAATCAACAAGCTACATAAATAAGGACTAAATTTGATATAAATCTATTGAAAATATGAGCACGATTATCAAAGTTTGATTGATTTTATTTAATATCAAAATAGGTAGCTAGAACATACATAGAACTTTTTTAATTGATTTAGAATTGTTTGATTTAAAAATAAAATCATAATTTGTGAGATGTAAGGGATTTATTCACAACATTTTGAGTGATTGCATGCCCTCCCTTAGCTTTATTTTTATTATTATTTTTTTATCATTTTCATCCATAACCTAAACTTCCATTTCTAAGGTTCGTTTGATCTTGGATCTCTATAGTAAATCCATTTAATAAAAGACTGATTCATTACAGGAAAATCAAGTATTACCGGTGGAATTTCTGGCGGAAGATTATTAAGTTTCGGGTAGATTTAAAAAGTTTCTGGGGATTTTCGGTAAAAAATTTTACGATGGTAAAACGAGCGTCGCAAACCTTTTCCGACTAAAAAACTCCGCCGGAAATAGTTTCAGGCGGATTTTGTCTGTCGGAAAACTTTTCCGGCGGATTTTTTTCCACCGGAATAAGCCCATCGAAATTAACATTTTGTCAGCCGAAAACTAATTTAAGTTAACTATTAATTTAATAACTTATTTAAAATAAATTAAATTTAAATATTTTAATTAATAATTAAAATAAGTTATTTAATTAAAAATTAGGTTCTCTTATGGCGAAATAATTTGTGTAACAATAAACCACTTAATGAACAAAATTTATAACTTATGAATTTTTGTAGTATGTAATTTAGTAAATTGGCATGTTGATCAAACACCACTCCAAATAAAATACTAACAAATTTATGAATAACAAAACATCACTACCACCCACACTGAATAGATGAGGTATATACTCTTTATACTTTTTTTTTTCTCTCTCGATCTATAATATGTTGGTTTAAAGAGAAAATCAAGAGAAATGAATAATGTCTATTAGTACCTATTCAATAAATCTTATAACTCAAAATGATATTAAATGCTTTAGCTTAGATGCTTTAATCAAATCAACTATAGTTAGTGCACGAAATATTTACTGAAGGGGACCTCACAAGATCGAAAGAAGGGGACCTCACAAGAAAGATGCTCAGACAGGGATATTATTGACTAACCATTCTTTAAAATGATAAGTACGCAGAATATTGTAAAATTTGCCAACTAAATGATATATTATTTCACCAAATAAATCAACGATGACACACAATTACTTCCTCACTTGTTTACTTTTATTCATCATCTTATTACTTCGGATAATTAGAAAACTACTAAACATCTAAACCCCTTTGTACAGTGGACATTCGTTAGCGGACATAGGTCATTACTTTGTTCAACAATGACCTGAATAGTGCCAGGTCAGTTCCGAATAGTGCCGGGTCAGTTCCGGATTCGACTCGAACCCGACCAATAACCCGAAATTGACACCCTAATGGGCACCATCAAAATGCCAGCTTTGTCTTCTCCAAGCCATCCTTGAGATTATGAGAAGCTTGAATGTCTTAGCCATGTTAATGCATGAAGAGAGAGTTAGGTTGGCCAGCTAGCTCTATATGAGAGGGACTAACTACTTGAGAGAGTGAGAGAGAGAGAGAGATTGGCTCACTCTATGTGAGAGGGACTAATAAAAATCTTCTAATCATTAAATTCTTTGCCAATCTCTCTCAATCAAGAACATTGAATCAATCCTTTGGAGGATTCTTTTGAATTTATATGGGTTGAGAATTCTAAACTTGGTTCCATTTCATCATCAAATTCCTAATCGAAACCGTAGAGCATATTCCCATGAACTTTAAAAGAGATAATAAACTATAAAGAGAAACTTTCCTTAAATCATTATCATGCAATAATTGATCAAGTTAGTTTCACTAAATAAACATTTGTTTATAAGTTTTTCATTATGAGAATGATTAAACTAATTATTATCCATCAACTTCTAACAATTCAAATATTATCAGGATTCTATCTTTTCTTTGC